ACCATACTGCAAACTCAATTTCAGATGTATTACACAAGTGGGAAAATAATAAGCTTTTAGAAAACATGGGAGAGTGTCTTCATTATCTATGAGGAGACAAAAAGCACTAACTGTGAAAGGAAAAAATAAGATAAATTCCATTTATCAAAAGATACCACTAAAATAATGGAGGAGGTAACAGAATAGAAGATATTTGCAATACTGTAATGTATCCAATAAAGCAGCGGTCCCCAACCTTTTTGGCACCAGGGACTGGTTTCCTGGAAGACAGTTCTTCTATGGACACAGGTAGGTATGGTTTTGGAATGAAACTGTTCCACCTCAGATTATCAGGCTTTAGATTCTCATATAAGGAGCGCACAACCTAGATTCCTTGCATGTGCAGTTCACAATAGGGTTCATCCTCCTATGAGAATCTAATGCCACTGCTGATCTGACAGGAGGTGGAGCTCAGGCGGTAATGCTTGCTTGCCCACTGCTCACCTCCTGCTGTGCGGCCCCATTCTTAACAGGCCACAGACTTGGGGATCCCTGCAATAAAAGATATCTGGAATAGATTAACAATCCTCCAAATCAATAAGAGAAAGCTATACAACCCAATTAAAAATAATAAGCAGAAGACTTTAATAGTCACTTCACAAAAGAGCATGTTGGAATAACCAATAAGCATATGAAAAGGTATTCCACTTCCATAAACATCAGGAAAATTAAAACCCCACTACACACACACACACACACACACACACACACACACCCCCAAAATGGCTAACATGGAAAAGACAAAACTAAGTGTTGATGAAGGAGACACAGAGCAACTGGTTCTGTCATACATTGCTAGTAGGAGTATAAATTGGTATAACCACTTTGGAAAACTGGCAGTATTTGATGAAAGTAAACATATTCATATCCAGCAATTCCACAACTAGGTATATACTCAACAGAAATGCATACATATATTTTCCACAAAGACATGTACTGTAATTTCATAAGTTATACTATTCATAATATACCCAAACAATTCAAAAGGATAGTTATGGAGTTTGAGACCAGCCTGGTGAGATCCCTTCTCTACAAAATATTAAAAAGTGAGCTGAGTGTGGTGGCACGTGCTGTAGTCCTACCTACTTGGGAGGCTGAGGCAGGAAGATCTCTTGAGTCTAGGAGTTTGAGGGTGCTGTGAACTATGACCATGTGACTGCATTCCAGCCTGGGTGATAGAACAAGAACTTGTCTCTGAAAAATAAAAATAAATAAATTATGACACACAGATAAACAATATGGCAATAGGAATGAACGATCTACTATTCTGTGTAGCAGTATAGGTGATTCTTATCTTTACAATGATGAAAGAAGCCATAAACCAAAGAGACAATACTCCATTTTTATAAAGTTCATAATCAGGCAAAACAACTCAGTTGGAGAGAAGCATAAGTTAGTAAAGTTACCTTTCTTGATACAAATTTCAGTTACACAAAGGCATTCAACTTGTGAAAATTTGTTAAGCTGTGCTTTCTGGATATATGTTCTTATATGTATGTATGCTATATTACCCAAAAAACATTGTTTTGAGATCTATCCATGTTGGATGTTAGGAGTTCTCATGTATTCATTTCACATGTGTGTGAACAGACTGCAGCTTATTTATTGATTCCCTTACTGGATTTCTAAATTGTTTCTAGTTTTCCTCTGTTTCAAATAATGCTGTAGTCAATTGCTTTTTTTGTTTTTTTTTAAACATCTTATACAAATATATGAGAGTTCTTCTAGGAGGTGGCATTGTTGGGTTTTAGGGTATGCTCATGTTTGGCTTTATCAGATACTATCAAATTGTTCTCCAAACAGTAATATAATTATAGGGTCACTAGAAGTGTTAGAGAGTTCCTATTGTTGGATATTCATCACTTGGTATTGTCAAACTTAAAAAAATTTTTGCTAATCTTATTGGGTGTGAAATGGTATCTCATCAATATTTTAATTTGTGTTATCTGTTAACTAGTGTATTTGATCATCTTTCTACATGTTTATAGGTCATATGGATTTCCTTTTAGGTATCCTTATCTATTGCCCATTTTTTGCTTTTGGGAATTGTCTATTTTTATTGCATATTTTTCTAGGGACTAACTATATTTTTCTTCATTTATGTACAATTTTCCTTGATTCTCAAAGTCCATATATTCAGGAAGACCTCCCCACCCCCTTTGATTTTTAAGACATTACTGGAATTTCACCTGTAAACTTTAAACCTGGAGTAAGTCAATCGTCCTGAGATTTCTCCTTCAGATTTTAATCTTTTTCCTATTTCTGTTTGCCTGCCATTACTCTTTATTCTATTTAATTCATTTAAACTACGGTGGATTTTCCCCATTTTTTCTTTTTGAGAGGTTGGTGGTGATTTGGGGAGGGAGAAATGAGAAGCAATAGAAAAATAAAAATTTGCCTAAAGTTTATAAAATTGATACAGCTATGTGTAAAATGCTTAGAATATGCTTGTGATGCTTGCTGGTTTTTTTTTTTTTTTTTAATATATTTGAAATTCAGTCTAGATTCAGCATTGTACAGCCAAAGGCAATTTATTTCATTTTATATTGTCTGTGTTGCAGATGCTCATCATTACATGATTAGTTTGTGTGTGTGTGTGTGTGTGTGTGTGTGTGTCTCTGTGTGTGTGTGGTCCACGCAGTGCCTGTTTTCCCCCAGATTCTCAAGACAGTTCCATGTATCCATTACTCTGCAAAGCAACTGCATTAACAGTTGAAACTTCACCTGGTACCACTGGTGCTTTGACATTTCTGTGATATTAGAGAGAAAATGACCAAGCACTTGGTAGCTGTGTTTCCCAAATACTTTAAAGGTGGTTGGTTGGTCTAGGGTAATAGGAGATGATGTAAATAGTGCTTGCTTATTTATCTTCTGTCAGGATGTGGTAATAGCAGTAAGGGCCTGGAGTTCCTGAGCTGTTTACAACTGTCACAGAGCCTGTGAGGCTAGGAAACCTTCGAGAATATCCTGGCCCAGATTTCTTCAGCATTCCTTCTCTGTTGCTTCTGCCTTCTGCCTTATGTGCCAGAGAAAGAGCTCATGACTTCTGTCCAGAGTCACAAAATCTTGGCTGATCTTGATGGAGTCTTGCAGCATATTCTCATGGCATGAATCTTTTGAAGAGAGGTGCCAGTATAACATAGCTTCACTAGGAAAACTCTTCCTAGAATAGAATTGGATTTCTTTTTTTAATGGTTTGATGTAAGTCAATGAAGAAACTTGAGTCTATTTTAGTGTAGAATGACTTCAACCCCCATCAAGTTTGGAAGTCTTCTCTATGTGAGATTTAGAAAGGCTGTACACAATACAATTAGGTCTTGCTTGTGAAGAAATTAGTATAAAAAATGACAATTTAGAAGTGATCATTTTAAAGCATGTTCTGTATGAAAATATACTCCAGTATTTGTAGAAAAACGCCCTAAACTGAGTCTTGACTTTATTTTTAAAAAATCTGTAAGTGGTAAGGATTTTTGTTTTCCTAAGCACCATATACTTAAGTACCATTATCACACTTAAAAGATTATTAGCAATTCCAGTAATGTAATTTTGAAATTTCCTGATTGTCTCAAAAATCTTTGCTTTTGCCTCTTTTATAACAGTTTTAACTCCTCGGATTCCCTTCCCTTGCTTTTTTATGCCACTGATTTATTGGAGAAACCAGGTCATTTGTCCTGTATAATGTTCCACACTCTGGATTTGACTGATTGCTCCCTTGTACTGGTGTTTAACTTGATCCTATATCCCCACTATTCCCTGCAAACTGGTAGAACTGAAGGCTTGATTCAATTCAGGTTGAATCTTTTCTTTCTTCCTCTTTTTGAGTAAGAATCCTTTATAGTTGATGTGGTATTGCATCATGTCATGAGAAACATAGTGTCTGGTCATCCTCATTGAGTGATACTGAGATGAATATGTGGATTCTGTTTGTACACTGTTACTCTCTTGGTATAGAAGGGCCCATTATAGTCATTTAAAACTTTGTAAGATGCTTAAGAATCTCAGAAAAGATTCTAACTTAGCAGGTCTAAGGGAAGAAACATCTATTATTAATAAAACATGCAACACATACAAAACCTCCCAAACCTCTCAACATTTACTCAGATATGGTAAGAATCGCTACATTTAAAATGTAATTAGAGTGACAAAATTTACTCTTCTACAAATGCTTTAAGATTGTTTATCTTGTATAAAATGAAGCATATTTAAAAATGTTAAGAGCTGTGAAGATGTTTCAGATTGCTGTGGTGTAATAACAAAGTACTAACTCTGGACACAGGAGGCCAAATCATGTTTTTGAGGTCTATTTTTTTTTTTTTACATTTAGAAAATAATAAGACTGGACACAGTGGCTCACGCCTGTAATCCCAGCACTTTGAGAGGCCGAGGTGTGGGTCACCTGAGATCAGGAGTTTGAGACCAGCCTGGCCAACATGGCAAAACCTTGGCTCTACTAAAAATACAAAAACTAGCTGGGCGAGGTGGTGCACACCTGTAATCCCAGCTACTCGGGAGGCTGAGGCAGGAGAATCGCTTGAACCCGGGAGGCAGAGGTTGCAATGAGCCAAGATCGTGCCTCTGCACTCCAGCCTGGGAAATACAGTGAGACTCCACCTAATAAAAAAAAGAAAGAAAGAAAAAAAAAAGAAAAAAGAATAATAACATATCTATCACAGGGTTGTTTTAATGAATAATTGAAATGATCTATTTGGAAGCAATTCAGCACCCAGTAATTAACTGAGTCTAAATCTGAAATTCATTCCAACAATACAGTTTTCAGTCTATAGAAAATTAACAGTATCATGTGCTGTTTTAGCTATGTCTGAATAAGCTTTTATATTTGAGCTTGTTTTTCAAGTGATAGGAGAGTTGATGGAGTTTTAACACAAGTGTAGTTAAAGTAGGCTTTTTGAAAAAATAGCCTGTGGAATTCTTATTACTGTTTTTTTCCCCCCTACTTTCAGCTTCATTTACCTCTTAATTCTCCTTTGCCTGGAAGTGAATTGACCAAGGAACCTTTTCGTTGGGATCAGAGACTCTTTGCATTAGTGCTGCGGTTGCCTGGCACCATGTCAGTAGAATCAGAACAGTTGACAGGTGTGCCTTTAGATGACTCTGCAATCACACCAATGTGTGAAGTGACAGGTGGTAAGTTTTTTTGCTGGCAGTAATTCGGTAACTTAAAGCAGATTTTATCTGAATGTTTTAAAAGTGTACAAAAACAAACATCCATGTTTGTTTTTATTTAACAAGTTAATATTAGGAATTAATAGGCATATATGGTTTTAACAGTACATTTATTGATAATGGTCTATGATCTTCATTTTAATAGAATGTGGTTACTATTGGATATGACAAGGAATGGTAATATTTTTTCTACTTGTATAGAAAATGCTAGTATTTGAAGTTGTTAAAGTAATTTTCTTATCTAGAAAGATTGCCAATGATTTAGAAGTACCATAGCATTATTTTTTGCAAAAAATGTTTTGAGAATCATCTCTGTATATTTGATGGGATATGCTTGGTTAAGTGCAATTTTTCCCAGAGGCAAAGAGATTGATAGATTAAAGGAAACAGATAGTGAGGTCTTATCCAGCTTCTGTTTCACTTATACATCAGATTAGATAGGTACTATGCTAAGTGAACAGCAAGGGAAATTGTGAAATACATATGTAATCAACTCAGAACTCATTTAATGTAGAATTAGCTAACAGGTGGATTAATTTCATATAGGTATGTATTGCGTGCTTACTGTGTACCAAGTATTGTTCCATGCTTTTGGCTTTCAGTAGTCAGTAAGACAGACATGGCATTTTTGCTTTCATGGAGCATTTCAGTTCTCACCTAAAAATTTTATTAAAGTAATTTTAATATCAAATTCTGTATTTGATATTAAAACGTGCAAGTCTAGCATTCCACTGTTTTACTTACGATTAGGGCCTGTGACATAGTCTGCAGACACACTTGGTGCTCTAATGAGATTCATCATAGCCAGCTACATAAGAGAAAATATAAGTTCTAATTAATATTTTAGGTGTATTTTTTCTAAAATTCTATGGGTTTTGGAAATCTGCAAAATTCACAGACAAAAAGGGATTAACCTTACACAGGTGTGTGAAATAGATAAGTTAGAAAACTGTTATTCATGTCATTAAATGCTTTCATTTTATAGAAATGCTTTTTGTGAACTTTTGTAATGCCTTCACAATTTAATTAACAAAGGGCAAAAAAGGCATATATGTAATTTTTTAAAGGGACAACCTGTCATCTAAATTTGAAAGTTAACTAACAGTTCTCTTTACATAGATAATATTTTTCGGTGACAGTTGTATTTTTTTCTGTGGCAGGGTGCACATTTATATTCATGAAATTTCAGTTTCCAGCTTTGAACTGGCACCCTTGTTAAAAATTCTGATTTTTAAATTTTTTTTTTTTTAACTGGGGATTTTACTTAACAGATTCTGAAAGGCTTGGAGGCTATAACATTCTCACATTGGAAATTCCTTACTGTGAATTACTTAATTTGAACTTAGAATTACGATGAACTTTTGGGACTTAAATATACTATAACTTTGTCACTAGGATCAGGAATATTGACAGTGTGAAGTGAAGTGAGTGGTATAATCAAAGAGTCTGAAAAGAACCATGAGATATCATGTAGCAGTTATATCCTTGCCTTTAGGCAGTAATATATTAAAGCTACTTTGCTTATTCTTTCAAAGGAACATCTCTAGAGGAGAAGTTCCAAAGTCATCCTTGGTGATATCTTTCAATGATGCAGAAATCTTAGACAAGAAATTAGGAAGTCTTCTCTAAATATACATTCTAAATCCTTCCTGATGTGATAGTTTATTTGCCCCTTTTCATGCTCTTACTAGCAATAAGGTAAGCTGCTCAAATGTCACTCACCTTTTCATATCTCTGAATAATGTGTTTTCTTCCTTTTTTAAAGGATGTTCACTAAAGAAAGTTTTGGGGAACACCAGAAAAGTAGAAAGAACAAAAAAGATAATACCCATTGGTATTGCACTATCCAAATATGTAATCACTGCTAACAATTCCTGTGCATTTTTAAAACTTGAGGTTGGCTGGGCGCGGTGGCTCACACCTGTAACCCCAACACTTTGGGAGGCCAAGGCAGGCGGATTACCTGAGGTCAGGAGTTTGAGACCAGCCTGGCCAACATGGTGAAACCCCATCTCTAATAAAATACAAAAATTAGCTGGGCATGGTGGCGCATGCCTGTAATCCGAGCTTTTTGGGTGGCTGAGGCAGGAGACTTGCTTGAGCCCGGGAGGTGGAAGTTGCAGTGAGTCGAGATCGTACCAGTGCGCTCCAGCCTGGCTGATAGAGCCAGACTCTGTCTCAAAAAAAAAAAAAATTTTTTTTTAAGTAGTTGTTCATGTGTGTATTTGTGTACATTTATTTTTCCCATTATAGAGTAATTCATGTTCGCTAAGGAAATATTGGAAAAAATTCACCTGTATTGCCAAAATAATAATATATTTCTTTCTATGTATTTTTTTAATTACATAATTATAGTCATTGTAAGCATTTTTATTTTGATACCAGGTAAAGGTAACTCTAGACCAAATAACTGTTACTAGGTGTTCGGAGTACAGCAGGAACAATAGAAAGCTTACATCTTTGTACTGAGTGACAGATAATAATCATGTAAAATAAATAAATGATATTTTGTACTAGTACTACCTACTAGTATTGTAGTACATAGTAGGGTGCTACCTACTTTGAAGACAAAACAGAGTAAGGGAATAGAGACTAACTTGAGGCAGAGAAGGAATATTCTAAGTTTTCTTCTGAGGAGGTAAATTTGAGCAGAGACCTGAATAATGGAGTTAATTACACATATATCTAGGCGAGGGAAATGGCAAGGAAAGGGACATGCTCTCTGTATATTTGGAAGCGACAGGAAGGCTGGCATGGCTGGAGCTTACATAGGGAGGAATGGAATAGTAGCTAGGTTTAGAGAGGTAGGCAGGGGCCAAATATTGAATGGCTCTTTAGGCTACAATAAATGTTTTTTTTTATTTTCCAACTATGATGGGAAGCCTTTTGAAGGCTTTTTATAGGCGGTGACATCTGATTTCTATTTCTGAAATATCACTTCACCTGTGAATATAGAGTGGCAAGAATGAAAGCAGGAAGACTAGTAGTAGTACTTTATTCTAGCTTTGGAGGTGGTGAGAGGTGGCTTAACGTAAAAGAGAACCAAAGATGAGGACAATAAGGGAAGAAGCAATCAAGGATGGTTCCCAGATGATTCAGTTGTTCTGAACCACTAGAGATGGATGGCTGTGCCAAGGACTGAGATGGTACACTAGGGAGAAGCAGGTTTGGGGGAGGTGCAAGGACGATAATAAATTTTTAAATGTGTAATAGACGTGTTGTTGAATATATCAAGAATTTTTAAAGTATTTTATAAAAATTATAGATATTTCTAGATTAAATACATTTAACTTTCTTAGCCTCTGTAAGGACTATTGACCAACTTAGAAATATTCATTTGCTGCTTCTCTATTTGACAAAGATGCTAATACTACCTTTAGACTCACTATATTTAGTTTGACTTTTTTGTGGACTCCACATAACCCAAAGTGAGACAGCTTCTTGACTTGAAGGTGTATGCTAATATAACTTTTTTCACAAATACAAGTAGTGATCCTAGAAACTTTATGCATTAGCGCAAAGTGTTGTATATTCCAAAGAGTAAGTTTTGACATAGACAATAAGTTCGCATGAGGAGCATTAAGTAGGATATAGGCTCACTTTGTAAAGAAAGCAAAATTTGCTATTTCTCTTTAACTTTTAAGATAATTGATTTTAATTTGCCAAATGACTCATTTTGTTCTTTTTCTCCAATTTTTGTAAAATGTACTGATTAGTAATTTGATTTCATGTTAAGATTGATTTGCTTATGTTTTCTTAATAATTGATGACACAACTTAGGAGAGCAGAGATAATTGTCATAGTTTATATACTTTTGCTTTTTAATGACATCTTAGGAATATGCTTAAATTTCATGAAATAAGATACTCAGCTTTTATGTAAACTTCTAATATTTTGCATGTAAAGATGGTTAACCTTTTTATGGATTGCTTTTTGTATATACTTAAATTGACTTAGAAAAAAGATTTAAATTTACCAATTGTTTCAGATAAGTATGACTTCATATAAATGCTCTATTTTAAGTATGATTTCAAATTAACAGAGGATTTCCAAGGGACAAAGGATATCCAGAATAGTTTCTGATACCCTGTAAGGATTTGAATTGTAGCTGTATCACTATGCTAACTTGGAAAAGTTAGTTAACCTCTCTGTGCTTTAGTTTTCTCATTTGTAAAATGGGGAAAATAACCCATACAATTGTTGCTAGGATTAAAGAAATTAATATCATAAAATGATTGGAACACTGCCAGGCACATAGATACTCAGTAATTGGTAGATATTTGTTAAGGTTACAATCATCATTATTTTATACAGTTGTTATATGATACTTATTTTTTCTAAGTAAAGCTGACTTCGAGGATTTGAATCACCATTGTCTATAATGTTCTCTTTTCTGAGTAGCCTTTAACAAATCACCTTAAATATAAGTTGATATGAGTAATTTGATGTGTCAAATGTAATGATGTAGCTTGTGTTCTGAAATAATTGGTTGAATGTGTAAAAGAGTAGGGCTTCATATTGAGCTTATTACAAATAATACTGCAAAATATTTGGCCAAAGATTGAGTTTTAGCTGTCAAGGTTTTTAGGTTTTTAGGTTTTTAGTGTTGGTCTGAATCAGAACTGTATAATAGAAATCTGATTAAAGTTTTATATGTAATTAAAAATTTCATAGTAGCCACTTTAAAAATTAAAAAAGATGAAATTAATTGTAATAATATATTTTACTTAAATCAATATATCCATAATATTACTTCAGTATGAGATTGATATTTTAAAATTACTGAGATGTTTTATTTTTTTATACTAAGTCAACAAAATCAGGTGTATATTTTACACTTACTATACATTTCAGTTCAAACTAGCTATATTTCAAGTTCTCAATAGCTACATGTATCTAGTATATAAAGTATTGTATAGCTAAGGTCTAGATATTTTTGTTGAAAATTCCTCTTTAAAAAATCTTTTCACTCATATCTTTTAAAAAAATCACTAGTATTTAATGCTTCTGAACCAAAAGTAGTATAGGTTAAAATGTGCAAAAGGGGAATTCACGTAAGACAGGTAATTCCCAAGTATGTAAGCTAAGTGAAATTCAGAAAAGCACACGCTACCATCTGTATATTAAAACGCAAATATTTAAAATACTTAAAAACTGCCAATGAACTAGTTAAGTAGTTATTACATATCTACTATGTGCACAGTAAATCTTAGTGATAATACTTTTGTTAAGCAGGAATAAGATTTTAGGGAGACAGTTACTAGATGTGTGTGTGTATATGTGTTAAAGATAAATTATATTGCATAACAATTGGAGATAGTGTGTTTTTTTGTGTATGTTTTTAAAAACATAAAATATGTGACTTGTTTTCATTGTGTGTTGTTCAGACCAAGAATTCTATGTTCCAAATACCTATAATTAGAGGAAAAGACATACTCTCACAAAATGGGATTGTTGGTTGGTTGGAAATAAGGATTTTTTGTGCACTTTCATAAGATAATGAAATTAGTCAACTTCTACCATTGAACTTTTGTTAATTAGTACTGTCAGAAACCCCACAGTTGTTTTTTTCTTGCTAAAGATAGGAATTCTTGCAACTAACTAGTTTACTATATTCTTCTTCTTCTTCTTTTTTTTTTCTTTTAAATCTCAGGCCGTTCGTATTCTGTGTGTTCTCCAAGAATGCTTAATCAGTGTCTGGAGTCCTTGGTGCAGAAAGTACAAAGTGGGGTGGTAATAAACTTTGAAAAAGCAGGACCAGATCCTTCCCCCGTAGAAGGTATTATTGCACTTTTGTTTTAGACATTGAAAACTTGCTTTATTGTTTATTCAACTAGAACTGAAAACTTACTGTGATTTGGCCTTAAGATTGGCAAGACCAAATTATTAAGACAGGCTGTTGGTAAAGAGGGAAGATTAAATAGGAAAGTCAAGGTAAACTAATGGTGGTCTAGTAGCATCACCTTTTTGTATTAATGATTGTTTATTGCCTGACATTTTGATGAGTCAAAAGCCTTTTAAAGTATTTATAGATAAGCAAATGTATAATTTCTTTGTAGTATTATACAATTGCCTGTCAACATATATATGCTTCTCCTATGCTGTTTAATTCCCAAAGTGTTCAATCCTAGATGTTTAACTCCTTAGCTACTTTTGGACCAAGGATCAAACTGATTGAAACTAAATGGTGTATGTGGGTCAAAAATGAGGAACCAGGCTTTATTAAGCTTGATTCTTCTAACTCTAGCTGAGTCCCACATGGCTTGTTCTTAGCTTCTGTATCATGAACTATTTCCAATAGCCAGTGGATATAAGGAGTTATAGTACAACCAATGGATGGTTTATAGCTGAGACTCTCTGCATTGTATGTTACCTATTTCAAGATTTAGAGAGTCATGGCTGGGCGTGGTGGCTCACACCTCTAATCCCAGCACTTTGGGAGGCCGAGGCGGGTGGATCACCTGAGGTTTGGAGTTTGAGACCAGCCTGACCAACATGGAGACACCCCGTGTCTACTAAAAATACAAAATTAGCCAGGCGAGGCGTGGTGGCGCTTGCCTGTAATCCCAGCTATTTGGGAGGCTGAGGCAGGAGAATTGCTTGAACTCGGGAGGCGGAGTCCGGGAGGCTGAGGTTGCGGTGAGCGAAGATGGCGCCATTGCACTCCAGCCTGGGCAATAAGAGCGAAACTCTGTCTCAAAACACACACGCACACGCGCGCGCGCACACACACACACACACACACACAAAGATTTAGAGAGTCATTTAATGATAATTGGCAGAGGTGGTCCACTAAAGTAGGTACCTGGGAAAAGAGAAAGATCATAGAGATGAATGAAAGAATGGGGGCACTGAGAGAGTACTGTAGGGAAGGAATGGGTGATAACAATAAGTTGTGTCATGTCTTCTTTAGCAAAACCAGACTTAAAAAAAAATTTAATTGAATTGTTACAATGTATTTATTTTTAAATTATTTTAATGCTTTGTTTAGAGTTTGGTACTAGTAAATGTTCACTAAATTGTTGAAGATAGTTGGTGTTTTCCTGAAGTTATTTTAGATTAAAGGTAGGTGCTTTGGTCTAGATTTGCTTATTAAGTTTTTTTTAGGCTTCAGTTAAAATGATTTCTAAAAAATAGTCAATTTGCAATACTTATTTATTCTAGTATTTATTGTGCGCCTGGCACTGTTTTTGACATTTGGGATATGATGATAAAGGTGGCAAATTGGGTGCTTGCTCTTATCATCTGATGAAGAAAACATGTCATTCATCAAACAGATATTCACTGTAAAGCATGTTTTATGTGTTCCAGTTGGGAAAGCAAAGGATGCTGCGGACCTCCTTTGAACTGGCGAACTCATAGTTGGAATTTGTACTTATTGTCTAATGAATTACAATCTAGTCTAAATATTAAGCAGACATAGTGTTCTGCCATTTAAGAAAAATAGGAAAACCTAGAAAAGAACAAATATTAGGAATTTTTTATTAAGTAATAATGGATATAATTTAACTTTTTATGCTTATCCCCCACTTATGATACATGCTTTCTTTGTCTTAATTTCTTTGCTATAGATGGGCAGCCAGATATATCAAGGCCTTTTGGATCTCAGCCTTGGCATAGCTGTCACAAACTCATATATGTCAGACCAAATCCTAAAACTGGGGTTCCTATAGGTCATTGGCCTGTTCCAGAGTCTTTTTGGCCAGATCAAAATTCGCCAACACTAGTAAGTACCAGAGAGACTGTAACTATGTAACAGTAACCATTCAGCTGCCTTTCCTATTAGTTTTAAATTCTGTTGTGAAAGCTGTGATTAATTTATGGGGATTAGACAGATGTTCAAAGTGCTATGATACCCTGTTACTTGCTTTAGTGTGCTGTATTGTTTATTATGAAGTAATAGAAAAAAGAAAGGCATCTCCTTCCTTTAGAATCTAATACTATGCTCACGTTTTTTATTCTTGGCTTCTGGGTACAAAATTTCCTCTTTGAACTCTAAATGGGGATTTGTCTCTGGGACACAATTTAGGATTTAAATGAAAGTTTAGAAAATAATTTTAATAGTTTGCCTGCAATTTTTAGGACTTAGTCTTAAATTCATATTGATGTGTATGGTTTTAGTTATATACAGTGTTGCAGATTGGAGGTTTAAGCTAGAACAGATTTTCTGATTTTGTTTACCTGAATTATTTTTAGGAACAATGAAGTTTGCTCAGTGATCATGGTGAATTATCAGTATTCATTATATAATTATTAAAATAACAGGGTACATTTATACAGATTAATATTCATTTAGTTGTGTTAGTGTACTCTTTTCTTTCCATATTTTTTTTTCCAAGTATCTGAGGGCATTAAGGGATATTTTATGGGAGAGCATGGCAGTGGTTCTCCTTGATTTTACCCTTAGAAAATAAGAATTGTATTTCAGAGATCATTAAGCAGTCTTTAGTAATGTTTCATACAACAAAACCTTTTTGAAACCTTTTGTACTTCAAACCTGTATCAGCTCTTCAGGATAATTTTTATTTTGAATTTATAAAGTGATATTTCCTTTATTCATTAGGGATTTAATAAAGTAGTGCATGAAGTTAAGGTTTTCTAAATTTCACTGAAGTATCTTCTTCATACCTTCTCTTTTTTCTGATAGAACCATCATAGTTTTTTTAGTCTGGCTTTATGGAGAAACTTTCAATTTCTTTGGTCATTTTACTTTCTCTTCTGGAGGTCTTTCAACTCTTACAGAACAGATACCTTATTTTTATGAAATATTGTCATGTTGGTTATTTATTCTATTGTATTTATTTAACACGTACAGGAGAACATACAGTACCTGAGTCGTAATGGAAAGAAATCCAAAACCAGTATCACAACCCTTATCTATTAATGCTGCTCTAGCAGTCTATCACAAATTCTTACAAGCCATAGAGGGTGGGTAGGACTTCAATTGGAGAAGGAAATAGTATAAGAAAAAAATATGGAAGTGAAAAAGAACAAGGTATGTTTAGAGGAGTAACAAGTAGCTGAGTATGGGTGGATCATAACATGTATATAGGACATTGAGAGTACTATTAAACTAACCAAATTTTTTATGACTTTAAATGCAGGGTTAAAGAATATTAGCTTTTTAACAGTGGAATTCAAAGAACAGTTGAAGATGTTTTTAACAGACATCTTTAGAAAAATTGATTTGGTAGTGGTTATATGCAGAAAAATTAGAAGGGGGAGATGAGCTGAAAGGCAGGTAGGTTACCTAGAGGGCTATTGATATGGTTCATGTAAGAGATTTTAAGTGGTTGAATTATGATGATGGAAGACAGAATAATAAATAATATTGGAAAGAACTGGCAAACTTTAGTAACTGAAGGATATTAGGGGAAGTGAAATTTTTATAAATTATAATATTGAAGAAATACAAGATGTGAATTTGAATCACAGCACTACTAGTTACTAACTAGTGCCTTTGGTTATCTTTTGTAAGCTTCAATTTCCCATCTGTTAAGTGGCTTGTAGCTCCATCTTATTGGGTTGTTTTGAGGATTAAACAAAATCATATATGCAAAATTTTCTTTGCCAAATTCTAGAGGATCTTTCCCTCCACTTTCCATCTTGGATCTCAGTACTTTTATTCACAGAATAAGTGTGTTTCATGGACTGATTGAATAAACTGTGTATCAGGTGCATGCTAAGCACAGGAGCACAAGATGAGTAAAACATAGTGCTTCCCCTCTTGAACATTACGCGTCTATGGGCAGGTCAGACATGTACACATCATAGAGTACAGTGTGCCAACTGTCATAGAGGGGTGGGGCAGAGCCAGAGGAGGTGGGCCTGACAGCCTGGTGTGTTTTTGGAGTACAGAGTGGGAAGGGGTATGAGGGAAGAAGTCTTTTAGAGGTTGTTACATGCCAACTTATTCTTCTAAACTTTGTTTGCAATACACAAGGGAGAAAGTAAGTACTTGGCATGGCAGAAGCATGGAGTCTGTATGGCATGGTGTGGGAAGGCAGGGACCAGATCACTGAAGATCTTTGTATGTGATATTGAGAGTCTAGACACTATTTTTAGGTGTTTGGCTGTTACTTTTACTGAATAATTTTAGATAGGGAAATTATATGATCCTATTTATATTTCACTGCCATAGGATTGATCAGAGGGGGGCTGATTAGAGACTAAACAAAGCAAAAGGCAGTTGTACTAGTCTAATCTGAGAAATGATGAAGGCCCAAATTAAAGTGGTAAGAAATAGAAGATACATTTCTCGAGAGATGAGAGTTTAGTATTAACAGAAGGCAGCAACTAGGACTAACTACCTACCATGTTTATGTGTTCTGGTAAGTGCCTTAGAATTTGTGTTATCGGTTTATCCAGGTCTTTGTGACAGTTAAATATGGAGGATGAGGGAAAGACATCAAGAATAACGACTAGGTTTTTAGAACAGGTTTTGTAGCTTGGGGGAGAAATAACAAATTGTACATATTGTGTCTGAGGGACCTGTGGAAGATTCAGGTTATGTCTAGTAGGTAGTTAGATACAGCAGAGAAATGAGAGCCATCTGACCCCAACACAGTAGATTTGTGAACCACCAGGGTATAAGCAGTAACTGACCCAGTAGCTATGAAATTTAAAATTACTTCCTCATAGTTCATTTTGTTCACAAAATCTCACAATTGGTGAGATTTTTAGAAAGAGGACTATTAAGAGGTAGATGGGGGGTAACGTGCCTTTTTTAAAAAAGTATTTCTTTTTTATACCTCTAGAACAGGGTGTATATCCTATAGAGTTTACCAAAATAATTGCTGGAATAGGGAAGGAAGCATTAGAAGTTCTATTTATGGTTGTTTTTCTCCTATTTTAATACCATTTTGGCATGTATTTTGTTATGCACATCTACATTTATAATTTATATAATTAGAAATATATAATGTATATTCAAAAACCGATCAATATCTATGATTACGTTGGAAGTCACTACTCTCTATAAGTAAATTGCTACAAATGAAGACTTGTGACAGTTTCCATATACATTTCTCATTTTTTGGATGTAAAAATTAATGAATACTCAATTACTAAATTTTGCATAAGACCTAAAACTATTTTCATTTCTACAGATTTTCAAGTGTTTGTCTTTTTCTTTTGGATATTACATAACGTTAGCATTACATTTTCAAGTGTTTTCTTTCAGCTTAATGTTGCTTTTAACAGTAAATCAAACTCTTATTAGCAAGATGGAGGAACTGAGTAAATTTTGATAATGAGGGATACTTAGTTTTGTTTCTGGAATTTCATGTAAATAGTAATTACAAGACTTTCCCGTTTAGCCACCTCGTACATCTCATCCTGTAGTGAAGTTTTCCTGTACAGACTGTGAACCAATGGTTATTGATAAACTTCCTTTTGACAAATATGAGTTGGAACCTTCACCACTGACTCAATTTATCCTGGAAAGGAAATCTCCTCAAACTTGTTGGCAGGTGAGCTGAACAACTTACAGTGACCCCAAAATTTAAATGAGGTGTTTCTTAAAAAGCTGAATTGAATCAGTAGTTTATATAACATTCTTTAAAGGTTATTAAAGTTTTAATTGCTCCTTTCTAACAGGTGTATGTGAGCAATAGTGCAAAATATAGTGAACTTGGTCATCCTTTTGGTTACTTGAAAGCCAGTACAGCACTGAACTGTGTCAACTTATTTGTGATGCCTTACAATTATCCAGTCCTTCTTCCCCTCTTAGGTAAGTCATTCTTGTCACATTCTCCTTGGCTTAGCATGTAAAAGTTCTCCTAAAGAGCATTTCCTTATAGATTTTCTTGTCTTTTGGAAATCAATGAAAATATTTCGAATATTCTAAAATATTGAACATCTTGAAGAAAAGATAACAACCTGTTTGTGTTTATAGTAAATTAAAAGATGATACTGTAACACTTTTTAGTCTGCAATTTAATGAAGGTTTTTTTTTTTTTTTTTTTTTTTTTTTTTTTTTGGGATAGAGTCTTGCTCTGTCGCCCAGGCTGGAGTGCAGTGGCGTATTCCTGGCTCGCTGCAACCTCCGTCTCCCAGGTTCAAGCGATTCTCCTGCCTCTGCCTCCCTCCCAAGTAGCTGGGACTATAGGCATATACCACCATGCCCAGCTAAGTTTTTTATTTTTAGTAGAGACAGGGTTTCACCATGTTGACCAGGCTGGTCTTGAACTCCTGACCTCAGGTGATCTGCCCGCCTTGGCCTCCCAAAGTTCTGGGATTACAGGCATGGGCCACTGTGCCCGGCCAAAGGTATTACATTTTAAATTTTTTAATTAAATATTCTAACTTTTCTGCAAGTTAGATTTCTAACAGTTACAATTGGTAATGTAGGCTTTCCGTTTGAAATGAGACATTTTGTAGAAGCATAGTATAGTTAACAAGATCTGAGTGCATTTTCTAAGAACTTATCTATACTTTAATTTTCATTTGGCAAATATTTTTTAAATAAAGGAGTTTGTTCCAAAATAATATGATAAAAGCCTAAAGTTAGTTTCTAGGTACCATCTAGCTATCATTTTTGAGAAGTGCTGTTGGAGAAAACTTACGCTCCATGAAATCACTTTAAATTTAAAAGTTATAGTCAAAATATTAGTAGATATATTTTATAGAAAACATTATGCATGCTTTGTTTCTGTCTTCAAATCTGCTTTATGTCTAGGTCTAGGGAGAGCATAGATTTTCCTTGTGTATTTTCTGTTTCTAACTTAATTCCTACATGTACTTTTAGATCATAATTGGCATCTTTTCATTTTATAGAAAATGACAAAACCATAAATCTTACTGCCTTTCATGTTAAAAAAAAGTCTGATGTTACTCTCTCAAAAATAACAAGGCAGACTTTAAAAAGGAAGCGTCTTTGACTTGACTTCTATGTGTGAAAATAATGAGTAGTGATAGTTTGTTCACATTATACGTTTCTAGATGACTTGTTTAAAGTGCATAAAGCAAAACCAACATTGAAGTGGAGACAGTCATTTGAAAGTTATTTGAAGACAATGCCTCCCTACTATCTCGGGGTAAGAATATTATTTAAAAGAACTTGTTGGCCGGGCGCAGTGGCTCACGCCTGTAATCCCAGCACTTTGGGAGGCCGAGGCGGGCGGATCTTGAGGTCAGGAGATCAAGACCAGCCTGGCTGACATGGTGAAACCCGTCTCTACTAAAAATACAAAAATTAGCTGGGCGTGGTGGCGGGCGCCTGTAATCCCAGCTACTCGGGAGGCTGAGGCAGGAGAATCGCTCGAAACCAGAAGGCAGAGGTTGCAATGAGCCAAGATTGTGCCACTGCACTCCAGCCTGGGCAACAAGAGCGAAACTCTGTCTCAAAAAAAAAAAAAAAAAAGAACTTGTTAATTATATTATGCTTATGGTTTATTGTGGGTATTGTAAACTTTTATTTATTGCTTTTGTAGATTAAATGACATGAAAATTGAGTATACAAATGACCACTATAGATGTAAAGGTAAAGAGAGGTTTCAGTGATTTGCAGAGTAGTGATGATGATCATGATCACGAGAACATTTATGTACTGCTTACTCAGGCCAGGTACTGTCCTAAGCAACATCAGTAATTTATACAGTTACCCTATGAGGTAGAAATGATTATTGGTTCTGTTACACAGATGAGGAAACTAAAGCATTAAAAATTAAATAATTTGCACAAGGCTACATAGCTAACATGTGAGGGGATGAGGGGCCTGAAATTCAGTCTGGCTTAGATTTAGGCTTTTAACCTCGAGTGTTGTACTACCTTTTTAAATTATAGTTTTATGATTATAGTTGTCTCTCAGTATCTGAAGGATTGGCTCCAGGATCACCTATGGACACCAAAAGTCACAGATGCTCAAGTCCCTCATATAAAATGGTGTAGTATTTGCATATAACCTACACACATTCTTTTGTATACTTTAAACCATTTCTAGGTTACTTAATAGGTATGTACTTATTATACTATATTGATTAAGGAATAATGTCAAGGAAAAAAGAGTCTGTATATGTTCAGTACAGATGCAATGATCCATTTTTTTTTTCCTAACGTTTTCAGTCTCTGGTTGGTTGAATTCACAGAATACGGAATCCACAGATATGTAGGGCCTACTATATTTCTTTTTAAGGGTGCACAATAGTTTTTGTTGTATTATTTCCCAAATCTCTAGAAACACCTTGTAAGGTGGATAAGTGTATATTCTCATAGAACCATATGCTTTAGAGGAGTTCATTACTTCAAAACTAGTGTATCATAGTAGGTAAAACCAATAACATGCATTTTATTAAATACATGATTTAGTTTGTGAAAGGTAACTTTTTAACAAAAGTACTTAAAATCACTTATGTATTACTTCTGTTTTTGATGCAGGAATATTATAGCATTTGGCTATAAATAATCTTTCTAAATCATCCCTAATATAATTACGAGATTAATTTCTTGAGCTTTGAAAATCATGACATTTTATAGTTCTAAGAGATAAGTTGTATTGAATGTGTCTAGCACACAGTGCCTGGCAAGTAGAAGGGCAAAAAAGAACAAACACTTTGAATAGGAACTGTTACATATGTTGACTCATTTATGTTTCATAGCAACCCTGAGGATTTAGCCATGCCAGATAGGTGTTAAATATCAGGGCTGGGATTTGATTTCAGTTTGACACCAGTGCTTATACACTCTAATGTGTCAATGGTTATCATCCTTTTTCTGGCTCTATCCCATTCACATATGCTAGACACTCTTGGTAGTGATATTTTTTGTCATACAAAGTAGTTCTCAGTCTCTCCTTACAATTGAAAGGTAACTTTCGTTACCACATCCATAATAAATATTAGATTGTTTTTTCCTCCTGCTTATGTTTCCTTCAGAGCTTGTTTTTTTCAGCTCAGCATATTATAATAATAGTAATGATTAATACTTTGTGCCCAATGGTTTTATAAAATGCTTTATGTGTATTAACTCATTTAATCCCATGACAACCCTGTAAGGGGTAGGTATTGCTATTATCCTCATTTTACAAATGAGAAACTAAGCCACAGAGAGCTTATTTATAATCTGATCTAGAATCATGTAACTAGTGATTGGTTGAGCAGCTAATTACTCAAAGTGGAAATCTTGCATTTTCCTTGAGTGTTTTTCACTTACTACCCAGAGCTACCTCTATAATGTGTCTTCTGTCCATTTCTTCCAGTATCTCCTAGTATCTCCCAGTGGTACCAAGGAAGTCCAGTATTTTATCCTTCTTGTCTTGGGGAGTTATTATGGCCTCTAAATCCTTTTTAACTACTTCAGATGGCCTTTCATCCCACTGACAAACATTTTACTGAAACATAAATATGATTGTGTTACTTCCTTATTGAGGAGAAGAAGGGGAAATAATTTTTTGGAGAAAATTTTAAGACAGACTACACATGGAACCATAAGTTTTTAATAAGCTTAATATTGAATGATGTTTTCTTTTTTCCTATAGCCCTTGAAGAAAGCTGTTAGGATGATGGGAGCACCTAACCTAATAGCAGACAGTATGGAATATGGACTTAGTTACAGTGTCATTTCATACCTCAAAAAACTGAGTCAACAGGTAATATCAAGAAATAGAGTGAGCCATTAAGTATTTTGAATGGTTTGGGCTAAGATAGTTAAACAGGTTAAAGCTGGTTCTTGATGGTTCTAATGGAATTCCATTATATTAATATATTACATTTTAGAGCCATATATTACATAATTCTGTCTCACACCCATGGTGTGCTATGGTTTGAAATGTTAATTTGAAGATTGTATAATAGGCTGGGCACGGTGACTCGCGCCTGTAATCCCAGCACTTTGGGAGGCCAGGGCAGGCGGATCATGAGGTCAGGAGATCGAGACCATCCTGGCTAATACGGAGAAACCTCCGTCTCTACTAAAAATCCAAAAAATTAGCCGGACGTGGTGACGGGCGCCTGTAGTCCCAGCTACTCAGGAGGCTGAGGCAGGAGAATGGCGTGCACCCAGGAGGTGGAGCTTGCAGTGAGCCAAGATTGTGCCACTGCACTCCAGCCTGTGCGACAGAGCGAGACTCTATCTCAAAAAAAAAAAAAAAAGAAAATTGTATAATAATTCCTAATTTATGAAAATGGCTTCGTGAGTGTGGTCCTAGACTTCCTATATGTGAACATTATTTATCTTTTGAGAAATTTATATTAGAAAGTCATTTTTCCTTAAAAAAGAAAAAAAAAAAAAAACTTCTTTATGTTTTGAAACCTGCAGATTTTTCTTTCAGAATGGGAGTTTCTTTGAAATGTTTGTAGAAAACACTGAAGTTTGTCATTCTGGCCAAAAATCACATTAATAAATACTATAGTAGTCAAGCAGTATATAGTGTAACTGACTGAAATTGTTAATGTCCTATGAAATACTATATTTTTCCAGTACTTCTGACTCACTACCTTAACTACAAATCAAAAAGCAGTTAGGAGTCAAAACATTGCTTCTTGCTTTCCAGGGAAGAACTGCATAATTATTTGCCATATTGATGTGCTAATAAAAATGTCTTATGTAATGATGATTTTTAAAAAATAATTTTCTATCACTCCTGAATTGGAAATACACATTTCATTTAGTGTGCATTTACATTTCATGGTTTAAGTATAATGGGTATTAATAAATAAAATAATAAGTTGAAAGTGTGTTTGTCCTGTTCCAAAAGTTTAGAGTTGTAATGATTTAAAATCATAAGACGTTGTTGTTTACTATGTTTAATTTACCCAATACTTGACATAAACTATGCTACTTGAGTTTTTAACTTCTTATATACTTAAAATATATATATTTAATTTATAGAAGATCATAACCATTAGTATCTGACTTATTAATTTAGATTTTATCAAGATAATTCTTATTTTTACTTTAGGCCAAAATAGAATCTGATCGAGTCATTGGATCTGTAGGCAAAAAAGTAGTACAAGAAACTGGAATAAAAGTCCGGAGCCGATCACATGGTTTATCAATGGCGTATAGGAAAGATTTTCAACAGCTCCTCCAGGGAATTTCAGAGGATGTCCCTCACAGACTGCTAGACCTTAATATGAAGGAATACACTGGATTCCAAGTTGCTTTGCTGAATAAGGTAATAATCATATGAATTTAGTACTACTGTAGTTCTGTTCTGTTCTGTTACTGGATAAATCACATTTTCTGCTAATTCTGACATTCATTTTATCCAGACTTTAAAGAGTACTTCTGTACCCTTGCAGAATAATGATCATTATACTGTCACTGCTAGAATTAAAACAGTGTACATGGTGTGTGAATGAATGGATAGATTGATGAAGAGTAAACTAACTTGTTTATTTTATAGATGAGAAAACAGAGGTTTAGAAATTGCTTTAAATTGCAATAGTGGATGGTAGAATTCACTATAGTTTTGTACTTAAACTGATGACCCTATTAGGCCCACAGCATGATCCAAAAATGCTTTGTGAGTACTCATGGTTACAGATATCTTTATCCCAGCAGCCTTTTTGTAGAAATGGGCAAGCTGATTCTAAAATTTATATGGAAATGTAAAGGTCCTAGAATAGCTAAAACAATTTTAGATGAATAAAGTTGGAAGACTTATATCATCTGATTTTAAAACTTACTGTAAAACTTACTACAGTGATCCATGCAGTGTGGTGCTATCATAAGGATAAACATAGAGATTAGTGGAACAGAATTGAGTCTAGATGTAGGCCCTCACACACACAGTAAATTCTTAACAAAGATAGAAAAATAAGTTAGTGGATAAGAAGACAGTCTTTTAAACAAATGGAACAATTGGATATCCATATGCAAAATAATGAATTTGACCATTACCTCATATTATTTGAAGTGGTCATGATCTTAAATGTAAGAACTAAAACTATAAACTTATAGAAGAAAACATAGGAAAAAATCTTCATGATGTTGACTTAGCAAAGATTTCTAAAAGCACATGCCAAAAATGTTGATAAATTGAATTTCATTAAAATAAAAAAACTTTGCTCTTTAAAAGAAACATGAAAAATGAAGTGGCAAGCTACAGCTTGGGAGAAAAGCACATATCAAATGAAGGACTTGTATCAAAATATATAAAGAACTCATAACTCAAAAAGACAAACATGGACAAAATACTTGAACAGACATTTCACCAAAGAAAATATGCAAATACAAATAAGAACATGAAGTAATGCTCAGCCTTATCAGCCATTAGGGAAATGCAAATTAAAACCATAACGAGATACTACTTCATAACTGTTAGAATAACAGATTTAAAAAACAAAAAATACAGGTATTGATGAGAATGTGGAGCAACCCTCCTAACATTACTGATACAAAATAGTTGGTATTTTCCTAAGAAGGTAAACATAAATTTGCTGTACAATCAGTCATCTACTTGTAGGCTTAGTATGCCAATTCATAGCAGCGTTTTTCATAATAACCAAAAACTTGAAACAGTCCAAGTGCCTATCAACTGGTGAATAGATAAAGAAGATGTGGTGTGTCCATATAATAGACTACTTGGAATAAAAAGGAACAAACTACTGATACACAAATAATGTCAATGAATCTCAAAAACATCACGCTAATTGAAAGAAGCCAAGTACAAAAGATTGGACACTGCAAAATTCCATTTATAAAATGGAGCATAGAAAGAAAGCAAATCATGTGGTTGCCTGGGGACAGGAATAGTGATTGACTGCAAGTGGGTACAAGGAACTTTTGGGGATGATAGAAATGGATTATGATGATGGTTTCACAACTACGAATTTACTAATACACATCAAACTATATACTTAAAATAGGTGATTTTATGGTACATAAATCACACATTAAAGCTGTTTTCTAAAAAAACTTCGGTTTTTAAAATTTGGAAATTGGTTTTTACTTAAATGAGTTTACTTCTTTTATCCAGAATATATAATAAAATCTTTAGAGTTAGATGGTGAATTGAAATTGTTTGGTTGATCTCACTACCAAATATTCATCTTTTGGCCCTGAACCTGTACATTAAGATTATATCATATGTCTTTATTTTATTTTTTTAAGCTAACTAGTTTATATATCTTATTTCCAAACCTATGCTGCAGGTTAGAGATTTTAGTCTCTTTTAATTCTATGTTTGACAATAAATTTGTCCTTGAATGTTGTTTACTAGGATTTGAAGCCACAGACATTTAGAAATGCTTATGACATACCAAGACGAAATCTTTTGGATCACTTAACAAGAATGAGATCTAATCTTTTGAAGAGCACTCGCAGATTTCTTAAAGGACAGGATGAAGGTTAGATCATAGTTTAATACTGGTATTTTTAATGTTTTTTTTCTTTATAGTCTGAAAAAGCATAGCATGGTGATGTAAATTTCAAAGAATTATTATAGTAGTATAACATTCTTATTGTAAGTTCAAATGAAGTAAAAGGTGAATCATCCCTGACTCTCTACCTTTCTTCTTACCATCACTGTTGCCCCAAATTCTCTTCCCTAGAGGTAACAACCTTTCTTAACAGTTTAGTTTCCTTTTGTAGCTTTTCTCATGCATTCATGCGTGCATGCACACACACACGCGCGCACCAGTTGTCAAACTGTATACTTAAAATAAGTGATTTTTCTTATCTCAGTCATTTTCTTGAGATATACCAGTATCTGATGGTTTAACTCCGGATGGCCAGTTTCATGACATTTTCTGATAATTCCTTCACCTTTATCCATGGCACCTACTATAAATCAAGTCAGATGAGACTTTAAACCTTTGCCACCTCTGATTTAAGCGTTCTAACAATAATTTTATATAAAAAGGGTTAGCTATATGGCTTCTCTTTTCCATACTGTACTTCCGTTTTCTACAAATTCTACTATAATTAAATTCTGTTTATTTGGAATAGTGTAGAAGAGAAGAGATACACCTTACACGGTAAGATCACACATACTTTTTTTTTTTTTTTTTTTTTGAGTCAGAGCCTTGCTCTGTTGCCCAGGCTGGAGTGCAGTGGTGTGATCTCGGCTCACTGCAACCTCCGCCTCCTGGGTGGGTTCAAGCGATTCTCCTCCTTAGCCTCCCTAATAACTGGGATTACAGGCACGTGCCACCATGCCCTGCTAATTTTTGTATTTTTAGTAGAGATGGGGTTTTGCCATGCTGGCCAGGCTGGTCTCAAACTCCTGACCTCAAGTGATCCGTCTGCCTCAGCCTCCCGAAGTGCTTGGATTACAGGCATGAGCCACTGCGCCCGGCCACATATACTGTGTACTGAAATTAATGGCAATTTTTGTTTTGTTTGGATGATGAAATCAGTGTTTTAAATTTTATTTTAAAATATTTTGTCGCAGTGGTTATAATTGCACCAAACGAATTTAGAATATGTTGGTAAAGAAGACTGTCTAGAATAACACTAGGTAGCATTCATGTATAAGGAAACATTATTTGAGAACTAATTGGAGTATAGTCTTAGTGAGGTTAACTTTTGTTGCTGTTGTGTTCTTTTTGAAAGATCAAGTGCACAGTGTTCCTATAGCACAAATGGGGAACTACCAGGAATACCTCAAGCAAGTACCTTCTCCACTAAGAGAACTTGATCCTGATCAGCCGCGAAGGTTGCATACATTTGGCAACCCCTTTAAGCTGGATAAGAAGGTAATTTTGAAATGTTCTGTTATGTAATCTGTTTGTGGTAGGCATTGTCAGTTTTATAGTTCTTAATTTAACTAAAGTAAGCTGAAGCTATTTTCCTGGTAGAGTATCTAATAAATGTCAACATAATTAGAATATAGTTACTTTTCATTGGAATTGACACTGGTTCTGCCATTTAAACATTGTTTGTAAATTCAAGAAAATTGTATTCTTTTTTGCTAAAGGGTATGATGATAGATGAAGCAGATGAATTTGTGGCTGGACCTCAAAATAAACATAAACGACCTGGAGAACCAAATATGCAAGGGATCCCTAAAAGACGTCGGTGTATGTCTCCACTACTAAGAGGCAGACAGCAGAATCCTGTTGTAAACAATCATATCGGGGGAAAAGGACCACCTGCACCTACAACTCAAGCACAGCCAGATCTTATTAAACCTCTTCCTCTTCATAAAAGTAAGAATTTTTTTTTTTCTTAAACATTATTTGCTGCCTTTTGGTTCCCTTTCAAGGAAGAGATTTTTGTTATAGATTATAGAAGGAAATTGATTAGTAGTATAATGAGTGAATGAATGTGTAGAAAAGATATTTGTTTAAATGAGCATATGATCATTTTTGTATGTCTTAATGAACATTTGAACATTTCTTATATTTATGATGCTTTATTAGCTATAATGTTCTAACATATCATTTGCAAATCTTTCAAAATAATACTTTTGAAAGGAGCATTATCACTATCCACAGAAAGATGGTTTTCAATTTCAGTTGAAGTCAACTAATTATTAAATATGTATGCTGTTTTGGATAATGCTGTGCTTTGAGGTATACCACTGAAGATAGGAGTGATCTCTGCCCTCATTTATAATCAGCAAGGAAGATCAGTCATTGAACAGATACTAGAAGTATGTTGAATATTACAGAAAAGATGTCAAGTATATTGTGGAAGCATTTGGCAAGAAGATTTAAGTCAATGAAGTCAAGGCACTTTACTGAGGAAGTTAATGCTGAAGCCAAAAGCTTTGCATTTGCTTATACTAGAGCAATAGTATGTGCAGAGGCATAAAGAGAAAGGCATTAAGGGAATTTAAAGAATTCCAGTATAGCAAGGGTGTTGGGCATGAGGTAAGGTGAGAACTGAAAGACAGAAGCCAGATGATGGAAGGCCTTGGAAGCTGTTTTCAACTTTATTCTAAAGGACAGTGAGAATCCACTGAAAGGTTTTAAAATGAAGGTGACCTAATCTGATTAGCATTTTATGAAGACCAGGTTGACTGTAATGTGTGTGGAATATTATCAGAGAGGAGCAAGAATGAATGTAGGGAAACCCTAATGAATTAATGGACTTATCACTTATAGATAGTGGTCATACTTACAGCATATTAACTGAAGAGAAACAAAATATTTTATGACTGCTGATGGAAGTATCCAATACTGCCTTTGAAGTTGTCTTACCAAAAAAAACCCCAAAAACCAAAGTTGAACATCAATGTAATCAAACCAATTTATAGGAAATACAGGGGACAGAGAAACATGTGGGATACAATTAGTAAAATCCAGATTGTAGAAAACTCTGTAGGACAAAGAATCTGTTGGTTTTTTCCCAGAAAAATACATAGTAAAAGAGGTACAGCAGGATTTTACAGATGCAAATGTAGTTTAAGAGATACATAAGCCAGTTGCAATGTATAGGCCTTAACTGTACTCAGAATCAAACAAAATCAAACTTTTCCACAAACAGAAAACATGTTGGAGAGTATGGACACAGACTGTATATTTGATGTTGTTAAATAATTGTGCATGCACAGGAATCAGTTAGGAAACCTGGGGAACAGATGCTGGTGACCTGACAGAGGGGTTTGAAGAAGAATATGTATTTGAGAAATACTTGAACACACCACTAAAGGATTTGGTTACTGGTTGGATGTTGGGACCAGAGCAGGGTGGGAGGAGTCAGGCGTCTGTCTTGAGAGACACTGGGTGGGTGGAAGAATAAATAATAAATGAGTTTAGTTTAGAAGTGCATATTAGGTCATCAAGTGGAGATCCTAAGTTAGAAGATGAATATTGAGTTTGGGACTCAGGAGAAGAGGATTGGGCTAGAGGGGTAGTATGAGAGGCAGATTACTGCCCATTGCACTGAGTAAAATCTCACCAAGGCAAACAGAAGAAAAAAAGCTCAGAACAGAACCTCGAAAGTGCCAAAGTTAAGATAAGAAAGCAGAAAAGGAGATTGAGAAGGAAGAATTTTAGAGATAGGAGAAAATAGGGAAGAATTTAATGTCATGGAAGCTAAAGGGCAAGATAATTGAGTGGGTAGTTGTCCCAAATACTTAAAAAACAAACAAAACAATAACAACAACAACAACAGTTCAAGAGAAATGGAAAAATTCTGTGGTCTTTGGTGATCTTAGCAAGAGCAATTTCTGTGGAGTAAAGGGGCAGAGCCTAATAAGGGGTTATGGGAGGAGTGAGAGGTGAGAAAATGGAAACAATGAGTATGAGTATAAACAGCTAGTTAAGTTTAGTTGTAAAAGGAAGATGGGAAAAGAGCATGGTACCTGGAAGAGTTCACGGGGTTTTGAAAATGGTGATTTTTCTTTGTTTTTAAGATCAGAGACGCTTGAGCATGTTCCAGTGCTGGTGATGGAACCAGTAAATAGGGAGAAGTTGAAAATGAAAATGAGAAAAGGCATACTCAGCACAAAATTACTGAGAACGCAAGAGGGAATGGTCTAGAGCACAGAAGAAAGAATGCTCCCTCAGTTGATGCAGAATGTGGGGGAAGCGTGGTGGCGAGGGTGTAATTTAGTTAAGAGGGAGGTAAAGGAAGTCTCTTAATCATGGCTTTGCTTTTCTTTTGAGCTCTATGAGGTAGAAGGTGAAGTATACTGCTGAGACGGAAGGGGATATTGGGAAAGTCAGGGGTTTGAAGAGAGTGAGGGAGCTTAACAATCTCTGTGGGAGAGAGAAAAGGTTGTGATAAGATTGCTAGACAGTGCCTGGGACCCAAGTAGAGATGGTGATTGTGACCACTCTGTAGAGCTGGACCCTATTTCTTCAGCAGTGCTCATGATTCCAAATGCAAGTCTGGGGCAAGCAGATAGAGTGAGTCAAGAGATGGGATTTTGCTTGGCAGATGTTATGGGAAGACAGTAGAACAAGAGAAATTAAGACATTAGTAAAAGTGATGTATCATCGGATATAAGCCTGATACAGAATTGGCTGCTTAGAAGGGATATGGTTAATAGGAGAAAGAAAGTAGAGGAATTGCTAGAGTCAAAGTCTGGCTGAGTTAAGGAGCAGTAGCAGGAGTACTTTGAAGACGAGGGTTATACTCCTCCATCTCTGAATTTGTCTGGATGTGAAAGGCGAAGGTGTAAATGTAAGTTCTTTAGAGAGAAGCTGGGGAACGGGGAGGCCAGGTTCTTACCAGATGATCTGCTTAAACATTGAAGTCCACAGCACTTCTCAGACTTGAATATGCATGTGAATCACCTGGGAGGTCTAGTTAAACTACAGATTCTCATTTACTCAGTCTGAAGCAGATGAGCATTTCTAGCAAGCTCTCTGTTGGTGTTGCTGCTGCTTGTCCACACACCACATTTCGAGTAGTAGTAAGGACCAAGAATGAAGTGACAAGGGCTCTGGGGGTGGAATGTGCATGGCAGATGCACTTGATAGCAATAACTGAAGCATACCCTGAGAATGACCCTGCGTGCAGACACACCTGCATGCGGTTGGGAGTTCTGAGCTAGGGAATAGGGTAGCTAACCCAAAGATCCATTCCCTATCTATGAGGAACATCTGAGCCCCTAGCCCATTGTGAAGTGAATGCAGGCCAGACAGGGGATTGAGGCCCTTTGTTTTGGGTTAAATGAAGGTTGCCAGGTGGAGGTTGTTAGGGGGAAGAGTGCTAAGTGAAAATACAATATAAACTGCATACTTTTTGCAAGCAGTTGCCTTTTTTTTGTCCAGCCTGCTGCCACTGGGCCGTGCAGTTATCCTGTCCAGCCCACTGCCATTGGACTGTATTTAAGGTGGTTCTGCCTAGCTTGCCACCACTGGGCTCGCTCCCCTTTATGTAAGCCCCCAGCAAAACCCCTTGTCTTGTTTACTGGCTCTAGATCTCTTCTTTGCCTTCTTGAACTTGGTGCCTTCCCCACTGGAGTTGATAGGAGCTCAGCACAACAGAAGGAAGGCTGTAACTGAGTGCCAGAGACAACAGTGTCTTACAGGCTTGTGCCCTGGAGGTTGGCATAAGATAGTGATAAGGAGAGACAGTGTGAGTGGCATGGTTGAGTCTCACAAGAGTACAAGGGAGTAATTTTGCAATAGCACTAGGAAGTGAAGGATTCAGTGACTGCATGTCCTTTTATGCCTATGGAGAGTGTGCAAGAGAAAGCAATTTCTACTTTTGGTCTGGAAAGGAGAGCAATCTGCATACAGGAGAGCTGGGTTTCAGTTAAAGCATAAGTTGTAGAGAATATTCAGTAAAGGGGAGTTTGCAAATCATAGAATCGAATTTAGGAGAGAGTCAGGAATTTGAGGGATTTGTGGAAATGAGTGTATAGGAGAATATGAGTAAATTGAGTTAATAGTTTGGACAGGAAATGAGGACAGTAGAGATGAAATCAGCTGGTATCCTGGAGGTTGGTAAGCAATCAGAGAACTTAAAATTCAGCTGCTTTCTGTGGGGCAAGTCTAATAATCTGGTGTTAAGAGGAAGGCTTGCGAGCTTTCAATTTTAGTAGTCTAATGAACTGAAGTGGGCACCAGGTTGCTCTGCACTGGTGAATAAATGATGACTAGGTTCTGTAGTTAGAAGGGTATACTGTAAAACATTACCTGTTTGGTGGTATGTTCCCTGCAGAATTTGGAACTTAAAGGCAGAAGTATAAGTAGAAAGTAAAAACTACCCAGTATTTACTTTTACCTCTAAATGATACCAGATGTATAAGGCATATTGAGTTAGGGCTCTCTAAGGTAGAGATAGATGACCGTGATAATTTTGATCCTAGATATTTCATTGAAGTATCAACCTACTTGTTTCAATAAAATTGCCATAGAATAAACCAGAAAACTAAACTACTTGAAATCGACTTAATTTTTTCCTCTAAGGGCAAAAATTGTAAATATTTTGTAAATACTGTGTATGTGTCACATTGAAATCTACTGTATCTTTGGCAATGCTTAAGAACTATATCACATTATTTGTTAACTTGCATTAGTCAAGGAAATCAGTTGTGACTTGCTGTAATAATGTTCTTTTGTAGCTTTATTTACTGTATGCCTTGAGACTGGGCCTCATAATTTTTTCCCCATATCTTTGTTTTTAGTTTCAGAGACCACTAATGATTCAATAATACATGATGTGGTTGAAAATCATGTTGCAGACCAACTTTCATCAGACATTACACCAAATGCTATGGATACTGAATTTTCAACATCTTCTCCAGCCGGTTTACTGGAACGGCCAACCAATCATACGGAGGCTCTTGGTCATGACCATTTAGGAGCCAATGACCTCACTGTTGGTGGATTTTTAGAAAATCATGAGGAGCCAAGAGATAAAGAACAATGTGCTGAAGAGAACATACCAGCATCTTCACTCAACAAAGGAAAGAAATTGATGCATTGCAGAAGCCATGAAGAGGTCAATACCGAATTAAAAGCACAAATAATGAAAGAGATCCGAAAGCCAGGAAGAAGTATGTATAATAAGAGACGAACATCAGATCTGATTTCTGTATGTGCTCAAAAAAGCAAAAAACAAAACAAAACAAAAAAGGTCAAATAACTGTAGTAAAAGAATAGATATGATTCTAGATCTGTCTTGAACAACATCTCAGTTAAGATTCTTTATTCATCTGACCAACACTGAATATCTTCTATTTCCAAGGTACTAGGTATGGTAGGCAGCAGGGACTAAGAGCAGAGCAACACTGTACAGATAAATTACATATAGTTCCTACCATGACAGGAACCCGTAATCTTGAATATTCTTCTGACCAACAATGGAATTTAATATAGTAGCTAGCTCACAAATGATATACTGAAAATTAAATTACTTCATGTCTGTAAAGTTCTTGTTGTAGTGCCTACCACTATGTTTAATAAACTATGATAGTGATATTATAGGATATGTTTAGGCCGAAAAACTAAAGTTACGAAAGCTATCTGGTATATGAACACAAAAGAACTTCGTGGGAAAAAGTTCAGTATTATTGGCATTCATTTAGAGGATGTTAACACATCACTTGCCCTGGGGTAGTACAGTGACCTGGGTGGTCCAGAAATGGGTACAAATCAGTCCTTGGAGTTTAGATGTTTATAGCCCTTGCAGAGTTTCATATGAAAACTTTGAACTGGAATAACACTCTTAACCTGTTTGGTTTTTACTCCCACTTCCCACTTACCCCATGTTAGCTGTTAGAATTTTAAACTGTAAGGATGGAGTTTTGTAAAGGCCACTTGTTCTTATTTTTTAGTGATACTACCAAAAAGCTATTTACTCATCCTTTTAAGCTTTATGTTTGATAACTTAATAGGAACTTTTACTTACAAAGCAGTGTTTGATTAGTTGTTTTATCTTTGTTGCTGTGTACTTTTACATATATGTTAAAATATAAAATCTCTAATGAGTGGTGAAATTTTTATGTAGAATGTTTTTGTCTCAGTATATCTTAATATAATAAACTGCAAAAGAAGAATATTGAATAAGAATACAAATGAAAGGCACTTAATTTTTCTTTTTGCTTCTTTTGCTTTAAGAATATGAAAGAATCTTCACTTTACTGAAGCATGTGCAAGGCAGCTTACAAACAAGACTAATATTTTTACAAAATGTCATTAAAGAAGCATCAAGGTAAATAAATTATTGCATATAATGAAATGGTGATTAAATGAGTCCGCAGTTTATACAGGCAGTATTTTAACAGTATCTGTTTTGTACATGTGTTGTTTATAAATGTATATGGCATACCAACATATAAATAAATTCTTACTCTTTTTTAGTTTATTGAAAGAAATTCAATTAGAAAACAGCCACACACACATTCTTCAGGAATTATGGACCTTTTCTCCCTGCAAATTACTAGATACTTGGAGAATTCTTGTTTATTCTTCTCTGTAGCTTTTTGATATCTTTACATTAATATTTTGCAACCTTTAATTTTTCTCCTTTATGCATTAATATTGGTGACTAAAAATAACATATTTGAATGTCATTTATTTTTACATGGGAAAGCGTAATTAAGGGGACCAGAATTGGACAAATGGGCCTTATTCTGATTGTTTCAGTAGCCCAGGATCATTAGTACATTGGCCCTCTGTATCCCTGGGTTCCACATTCACTGGATTCAAGCAACCACAGATTGAAAGTATTTGGAGGTGGGGAAATGGATGGTTGTGTCTGTATTGAATATGTACAGGCTTTGTTTTTCTTGTCATTCTCTAAATAATTCAGTCTAATTCATATAGTATTTACACTGTGTTGGTATTATAAATAATCTGGAGATTATTTAGAGCATATGGGAGAATGTACACAGGTTACATGTAAATATTGGGCCATTTTATACAAGCGACTTGAGCATTCATGGATTTTGGTGTTCATAGGGAGGCCTAGAATCGATCCTCCATGGATACAGAGGGATCACTGTATAAAGAAGGTGGATAAAGGTTATAAATGGTAATTAAGAAGTGCAATTAACTGGAAAACATAGTTGTATGAGTTTAAAAACATTTTTTATTTTCCCTTCAATATTTTGGGGATTTTAGTATTATAAGAAAACTTGGGGCTTATCTTATTTGACCTTCTAAATGTAAACACACTTACACTTTGTCCCCCTGTCTCTTCTATGCTACACGTGAAGATTTTAGATAAAGTTGGTTTTTGTTTCTAGTTTTCTTTTCATACTTTTGGAGTGGCTAGAGCATAGGCCAGTTTGCAGGATCAAGATAAGGCTATAACTTTTCATATACTTTTGAGTATTTAACCTATTATGCTCTTTATGGTAACATTCTGTCAGCTAAAACCTCATTAGGAATTTATATTCCCGGTATCTGTACTTCACTTCTGCCACCTTTTAGGGAATTGTGTAGTATTACAGTGGCTATTTATATTAGCTTCCAACTAGCAAGGAAGTAGGAATAAAATGTCCAGTGTCTTCGGATATTCTTAAAACCATCGGCAATTATGTAGACACAATTTTAGTCTGCCCATATTTGTTACTGAAAATCTTTAAGTTGTTACTTGAACTTTAACTGCTTGCTATACTCTGTATTACAGATGTCTATCCTTGATTTGCTAGCTTTCAAATTATAATAGAATACCATGGTTTTTAAATGCTACTGCCCAATTTTCATTTCTTCTTCCATTTTGTGGGAGTTTATATTCATACTTTGTTCACATTCCTTTCAACATTCAACTTACAAACAGCATGAGAAGAAGCTATTGAAGTATTTGCTTTGGGAACCCAGATTTCACCAGAGTGTTTGCAGCCCTTGAATATATTTTGAATATATTAGTTTTTTGATTTTTTTGTTTGTTTTTTTCCTTTTTCTTTTCAGTTGTGGAAGGAACAACCTCTTTCCCATTGTTTAGGTGTAGAGTGTTTTAGGGACAAACTAAAATACTGTACTGGTATAATAATTTGCTAATCTTTCAACATATTTTCTATTGTCATAGTATTGATTTTTCTATTTTCATTTCACTTTGAAAAATCTTCCCAAAGCAATTTTCTCTCCTTTTTTAAACAAATTATACTGATATATACTATTCATTAAAAAGTAATTGAGAGTACTATTTATTTTTTCATACAGGTTTAAAAAACGAATGCTAATAGAACAACTGGAGAACTTCTTGGATGAAATTCATCGAAGAGCCAATCAGATCAACCATATTAATAGCAATTAAAAGAAAATAGAATGTGGCCACTTATTTCACTATCTTCTTCAAATACAAAGTAAATACAAGACTGTTGTGATCTTGCATTCATTTTCTGACATGCATTGTTGGCTATTTGAAATACTAAAAGCAAATCTACAGATCCTTTTTCCATCATTTTACAGTGACCTTTTCTTCATTTTGGTTTATTTTTGTAATGTGAAAAGTATCACTCTAAAAAACATTTTTATTTAACAAACTAAAAATATTCCTCCAAATCTCTTGCTTGTCATTGACTCTTGCGTGTCAATTTCCCTCAGGTTCTATTTTCTTAAACCAACCTTTAAAATTGTCACCTCTGTTAAGGTTGAACTTTGCCAAAAAAAATTAAAAAGAAGTTACTTTGTAATTTTTGGGGAAAAAAGCACATACATTAAAACTAGGTAATGTTTTGTATATACAGTTATTTTGGATATATTATTGTAAGTTGTACAAATGTATTTTGAAGAATATTTAAGAAAAGCACTTTTGTTATTCCATCAATAAATGCTCTATTTTACTCTTGTGTGGTTTAGGAAATAATCACATTTAAAGTAATCATTTAAAAACGTCCTAAGATAATGGAATTTTAAAGGCCTTGCTTTTTAGCATTGGAAAAATACACCACTTGAAGTTCATGTTTGTTAAGCCTAACTGTAATTACATGTTACATAATCTGCATTGCCTTTTTACTATATGTTTGTAGTTTTTGTTGGCCATGCCAACATACTCCCATTTCTGCCTAGATTATGGGAATGACTTTGTCTGGGGCAGATAGATACTTTAAAAGCTATTTAAAAAGCAGACAACTTTGGATATTATTGGTTTCCTTCAACACCTTTTCGTTTCTCACTAGGATCGTGGGTGGCACAAAGTTGAAGCTGTTAGGGAGTGGTAGGTTTGGAGTGCACTACATACTCTGAAATATCTAGCCTTTAGCAGCTTTATGCCATGCTTGCAAAAGCCCACAACAAATTGGAGTCCTCTTTGTTCTGCTCTGCTGTTCTCACACTTAAACTCTGTTTTATTTATAAGCTAAATGGAAAGGAAACACCTTTAAGATGACTTTCCTCATTTTGCATCCCCCCCTGAGTTTCACAGGATAAGGAAAACCACAGTATTCATTCTCCACCCTCAATTCAACATGGCCTAGAATATCCTTACTGAGGAAGCGATCTTACGGCCTGACTCACTCACCATTCATAGATCACTGCTGTGCCTTTTAGTGGTTTGGGGGTAACCGGTAGAAAAGAAGGTCAAAATAGATTTGGATTAAGAGTAGGCAAAATAAACTTATAAAATTTAAAAACTGAAGTATTTTTAGGTTTATGATATTGAAAACCACATACCCTTAGCTTTTTACACTTTATCAGAACATTTTTTAAATTTCAAGGGTATAGCAAAATTATAACTTTATGAAGAAAAGCATCGATGAAAGTGGAGAACATGCATTTAGTCTAGGGGATTTGAAACTCTCCCGATACTGAAGACAAACCCTGTCAAGAAAAAGAATTTAATATTATATAGTATTTTCATATGCAGTTCTTTAAGCTTTGTTTACTTCTATAAAAATACTTTTAAGTAATGCAAGATAACATTTACTAGGTGGAATTGTTAAGGTAATTGCCTGTAGTCACATTGCTAAATTCAATGAGAGTTACACAAAATCCAGAATATATTGTCTGTTCCTAAATTATATGTATTTAGATTCTGGGATTAGTAGGAGGGATTAGAAGTCATTCAGATAAAAATTCATACTTAACAAGAGTATCTAGGAAAGAGATTCAGCCTATCCCAGTATTTAGCAGCTTTCCTTATAAGAAAGTTTTATTTTCTTTTTCACAGATTGCTCATGACCTTTAATACATTTTTCTGAATGAACCCTGGAGGGAGGTGAAAAGTAGCAGTTTTGTTCATCTCTTCTTTTTGTCCTTTATCTCTCTGCCACTGTTCTCACCTCATCCTAAAACCTGGTCAGGAGAGTTTGAAACCTATTAGAACCAAAGGTTAATATCCCATCTCCCTCAGACTTTTTTCATTTAAAAACAAAAAACTATGGGTATGTTAAATTAGTGAAAATACTTATTGTAGAATTACTGTCGGAAGGGGATTACATCTAGGGGGAACATCATGTCTTTTAGGCCCTTTATGTCACTGAATGACTTATGGCTTGACAAATGATATTCTTGGAAAGTTTAATCTTGAGGTTTTCAAATCTTTTTTTTTTAAATGTCTCCCATGTTTCCCATTTGCTGATTGATTCATTAGTTGGTATTAGTAAGATTTGTCAGTTTGGAATAATGAAGGCTGAGACTCATTTCTAAACTCTTCCATAACCATCACCAGAAAAGCAGCCACTGTGTTGTGTGATGTGAGCTAATGCCTCCCAGATAGAGGTAAATAAAGTCACAAGGACTATTAGAATTCCGGTGGATTGTGGAACTGGTTTTGGATTATCCTTATATTTTCATTCTGATTACTGAGGCAGTTCTGAAAACGCCTACCATTGAAATAGTGGTGTGTCTTTTCCTTGTTTAAGGATTTTACATCATTTTTATGCACTTGAATTCCAAAATCAGAATCTCTCTTTTACCTATCAACCTTTATTGGCTATTGGCTTTTGGCAATGACCTTTCTGTTCAAATGTAGTCCTGTCTCTTTGTTTCTTTAGCGAGTAGAACCTGTCCTTTTTTTGATCTTTCATTTTTTTGATGTGTCCTTTCTGAGAGAAGGCTCTCTGCTGCCTGTTCTGGGTGATAAGTGATATTTTCATCTAATCACTATGGGGTTGGGATGATCATGGTGAAATACTAGGAAGACATATTCTGTTGATGGACTTGTTCTCCCCAAATAATCCCAAATAGATTATTTTCTAGTGAATGGTTTATATCTTTCTCGTCACAAAAATGTTCCTTTGATTTCTAGCACGAGGTACAGCAGGATGCAAATGATTCTCAGATAAAATGATGTTGACAGTATTTCCTTAACAATTTATGTAAAACTATGCATAATTTTCATTATCCTAACTTCTGACATTTTTTTCTCCATAAATAAAAATAATGCCTGATGTTTAGTTAAAGTAGATCCACCTTTGCTTGATTTTATTAGTCTTGTTCTATCCTATTTCTTTTTAATACACTGTTTAGACTTGCCAACAACTCTTAACTGAGAATCTCTTTTCCTTCCTAGGCTAAGTAATTGTGAGTGGGGGAGGAAGAACATTAAGAGAAATAATCTAAAGACTTTGTTCAATGTTGTCGAAGCCTAAGGATATTTGTGTGTCCTTCTGATGTACTGAGGCTTTGCCGGTACCACACCATCTTTGGATTACCATAAGGTTATGTAGTAGGACTTAAAAGTACTAGGGCAAACATTTGATTTTTGAGAAAGATCAACAGAACAGTATAGAAATCAGGTGCATTCATTAGAATACTAGGATCACAAGAGGACTACTCTGGTATACTCTAGTGACCTGAAAAAAAAACTCTAAAATGATAAGAAAGCTAGGGGACAACGGGAAAAAAAGGGAAAGATTTGTAATTTATTTTGCTTTCATAATTTTTCTAAGTATCTTCAGAAGTAGAAATCTATAGCATTTTTAAAAAATCTACATTAACTATATATGAGCTGAGAGAATGAGAAGGTAAAAAACATGGAGGATAAGTTTCTTTGTACTTATGAAATAGTTCCCTTTCTTAGGATACAAGACAGCAACTGGGAAGCTTCTGAAGCACCATAAAAACAGCTAGAAAGAATGCTTATTTTTGAGGGGATAGTGGACAAATGAGCCCTTGTTGCTAGAGAGACACTGATAAATAATTTATCTGAATCCTGTCAAAAAACACTGTAATACCTGTGTTAGGTTCTCTCAGGAAATAGATGAATGGCCGATCTGCTTTAAAAGTAGGAATCCGAGACCTTTTCAATAACAACAGAGCTGCAGGAAAGAAAGAAGAATCCCATTGCATTTTCTGTGCATTTTTAAGAAAATAACTATTGGTTGTGAAGTAAGTTATATACCATTTTTTTAAAGAAATCAAAGCATCCTAATGGCATTTCATTGTTTACTGTTGTGATGGGGGTGCAAATGGGAAAATTAAAAGATGCCATCTAGCCAATCTTGTCTCCTGTTTTGAACACATTCCATGGAATAAATTCCTTATTGAAGGTAACTTTCAGAATGATTTTTATAGGATGGGTATCTCCTCTTCCCCATCATTTTTCAAAAACTTTTTATTTTCTTTAGTGTTCCTTTTTAAAAAATGCTATACCACACCTGAATTTGGGGGTTATGGAAAGATTCAGAAGTGTGAAGATTCAACTAGGTAAATTTAAGAAAGGTAGATATGGGTGAGCAGTGTGACTGGGTATTCTCTGTTTGAACATACCTGTGGCTCCAGATGCCTTGGTGCCTTCCTCCAAAACTTCAATCTTGGCCTTGTGGATTGCTTCAGAAACATAAAAGCCATCTTGGCCTAACCGCAGAAAATGATAAAAATATGAATTGCTCATTAACATTTTTCTAACACATTTAGAACACATTCTTTAAAAATGTACTTACAAAATTTATAGTATCCAATGCTGCTTACTGTGTAGCTAGGGAAAGAGTGGAAAATTCTTGTTTTTGTTTTTACTGGAGGCTCAGGTAGCTGTTTGGAAAATTCTTAAGGTTCAATATGTTACCAAACTTGCAAAACTTTTAATTTGTTAAATATATGTAATCTCTCCCAAAATAATATTCAGAGCCCTGCCCCATTTTTTTTCGGTGGTTCATTTTCAGAAATGATTTCTAGTTAATACTACAATCCCTCCTTCAGCCAGTATTTCCAAAACTTCAGTGATCATAGGAATCACCTGGCTATGTGTTAAAATGCAGATTCTGTAGCCCAGGAATCATTTTCACCAAGCTTCAGAGATCATTTCCCTTGAATGTCTTTTTGGACTGCATTTTAAGAGCCACTTTAAAATGACAAAGTCACAGGATTTTATCACAGGCTTTATTGAGGCACAATTCAGAGTAATATGAATGTGTCTAGTGTTGCATGACTGCATTCTGTATACTTAGGTGTATCAGTTATGCAATTAATATGCCTCATGGGCTAGAATCTACAAAGCAGAGCGGTTAGTATAAATGTTCTATGTGCTAAGTTTCACAGATTATAAGTTTAGCAAATAGGACTAAGTGATAATTTAGAGGAATTGGCTGATTTTTGTAAGCTAATCATTAACCATTTTTAAACAGCTCCAAAGACGAAAGGATACTTGATGACACAGTAAAAAATGAAAGATTTAGAACCAAAAGAAACTTAAGAAATCATTCAGTCCAATCCTTTCATTTTAGAGTGAGCTGTTAACTCATCTGAGATCACACACCTGAAAAGCAGAGTTGAGAATATTCTGATTGAAAGCCCACTCCCATCCCACCCCTCCACTCCACTCAAACATTCCCACCTTTCAGAAAGTGTATGCTAGTCAACTCCAACATGCCACTGGGAGGTATCTGCGGCATGAACGTTAAAATAATCAGTTTGATGAACACATATGTGAGGGAGCTTTGTTTCATCTTAGACTTAATGCTTAAATTGGTTTGTGTTTGTCACACACATACGGGAGATAGCCCATGAATGCCATGAGAGAATAAAACCAGACCAAAGTAAAGAATATGCAGCATTCCATCCATCTTGTAAGTAAGGTGTGAACAGAATGTTGTGAGTTGGCTATATTCACTGTAAGGAACAGTCATTTTCCAGCATCAGTGAAGGGGACAGGAAGGGCCAGAGGAAGTAAAAATCAATGGAAACATTCACTAGTGTCACTTGTCCTAAAACCAGTGAAGAATTTGATTTATTTTAGCAGTTGGTATTTTTCTGTAGGGTCTTTAAGAAACAAATTTCACTATCATTAATAATTATCCCCTCTTACTAGCTAATTAAGCAAACTGAAATGCAGTGCCAAAGTTACAAAGAGAGCTTTAGGGTTAAAGAATGGTTATTTTATGAGAGTCATGAGAGGGTTTTACTAATTTCCATGACTTCATTACCATATAGGATGGTGTCTGAACATTTTAAATGAATGTTGGTGAAATAAGCAGAGATTCACTAGGAAACCCCTTATCAGCTAACATGTCTCTGTGTTAGTCTGGGCACCTTGGCAGTGTGAGAAATGGGACCAGTTGATGTGGATGAGTCTGGTTAGATGGTCCAGGCTATTTTAGTATTTTGAAACTGCAACTGAAGAGTTTCATTTAAATGGTTTCTCTCCATCAGACTATAAGAGTGGTCCAATAATTGACATATGTTTGCACAGCCATAAACCAAGGTCCATAGCCTATGCATGCCATGCCCCAGCATCAGCATCTTTTAAATATTATCTCTGGTAAGAGTTGACATTTCAAAAGATCAACATATGTGATAAAAATGAGAATTTGGGAGTCATCTGTGGTTTTGCATTTTTCCTCCTGCTTAATCTTACATTACAGATTCCTATTATTTTTTATTGAGTACCTTTTGAAATACTTCACAACTAATGAACCTAGAAGAAGTCAAGCACAAAGGGATTCTCCTGGTCTTTTTCTACTCCCCTGAAGTGTTGACAGCTGCTTAATGCCATTGAGGGGCATACACCCTGTTTTCCCAAAAGTTGTTCTCAAGATTGTTTACAGGTGGCATTCTATAAAAGGGTTCCATGATTAATTATATATGGGAGATACTAAACAGTTTTGCACTCGTGTTTTCAGTAGGGGACTTCTTAGAGCTGCTAATCTGCTAACTTTTATAGTGGATCTCTACGGGACAATTATAATACGTGGTGTTAAACCATGGAACCACCCATACCATTCTCTGTCCCAGATTTACAGGATTAGCATTTTGGGAACATACTTTGGGAAACTGTAGCCCACCATAAACCCCCTTGCTCCTACAATACATTCTGTATACAAAGCAAAGGGGTGATACCCTCCTTGCTGGCATACTCTCCACTCTTCTTCTGTAACATCTTCTAGGGTGTTTATCTTCCTTTTTAGACTATTAGCTCCTAGAAAGCGTAAATGATGTCTTAATCATTTTAAATATTTCTTTGCCCAACTTACATTAAGAATACTTGGTACATAAATGTGTTTAGTAAATGCTGGATAAATTAATAATAGACACCCCTTACCACTATACAAATGGCCTTAATGTTCTTTAACCTTGTTAAACTTGTAAGGAAATGCCGATTGGTGTTTGTAGAACCATAAAGGCATGGCATAGGATGGGTCATCTGCAAGTCTCAGCCAAATGATTGTTTCAGTGCTTTGTTGGTGGAGACCATTATTCTTTGTGTGTGGCTGGTCATACTCAAAAGTTTAAAAGGTGTGGCTGGTCATACTTAAAAAGTATGACCATCATGTTATGATGGTCATACTTCGTAACATGATGTTGTATAAACATTGTGTCCCTACATTTAATCCTCAGCTTCTCATAAATCAGGATAAACATATCATTTGCTGTTTTGTCTTTACAATTATTATTTTCTGTAGGCAGATTTAGTGGCTTTTAAAACGTTATTGCCAGAACTTGTTTCTAGTTTATCTTTTTCATCTTGTCACTTAGTTGCTAACACTAAGTGTTGGGGAGAGGAGGAGAGAGAGAGAGAGACATAGTACCCGGCCCAGGATAGAGAGAGAGAGTGCTAAGAGGAATCTGAAATGGCCTTTGAAATTAGGCTATGGTTAGTTGCTTTCTCCATTTGTCTCCTCTAGCCCACTCCGCACCTCTTTCTATTGCAATTCTGACCAGACATCTGGTGTGGCATGAGTTAACTTATGTAACTTCCATACTCAACCAAACAACTCTGGTGGTTTGTTCATTTAAGTCATAGTAACAGAGAACTTGTACTTCTTACTGAGCAGAGATTGAAAACTACCTACTTACAAAAGCCAAGAAGAAGACAGTTTCTTCAGAGTTTCAAGTTTGTGCACAAGGAATATTTTGTGGACTAGGAGGCATGGGTCTATATCAAAGCCTGCTGATCCTAAAGCCAGTGGGATTGCTTAAGAAGAGTATCTTTAGCTGGCATCTTCAGTGTGAGTGAAACGGGAATTACTCTTAAAAGCTGCATAACATCTAGTATCAAGGAGACTGGGGGGAAATTACACTCTGGTTTCAGTTGGGCCTTGAAATAATATTTAATGAGTCCTTCAGGCAGCAAAAAAAAATATTTGATGCCAAGAAGGAAGAGATGAGTGACTTGTAAATGGGGAAAGAGAACTTGAGTAAAATGATTCTGGGACTGAAAGGCCAAATGTCTGCTGTGGTTGTTGCAGTTCCATCAATAGCACAAAACTGCTTGGTAATCCCTTGTAAACTGGAAGAAGAGAGGCCAGCATTTTCTGATCACTTACTCTCCGGCAAGGTCTCTGCTGATGCCATACTTTATGTAAATGATTTTGTTTCTACAATTAAGGTGTGTGGTGAGTGGTAGCTACCCCCATTTTAAGAATGAGGAAAACTATTTCTTGGAGAGATTTGGTGGCCCTGTCTCTAGAATATTAAGATGAAAGCCAATTTGGGCAGAGAAGTGGTTAGTCTCTTGATTATGTTTAAAGAAGGACATTAAGAAGCAATACTTTGGTTGGCAATCTTTTTCTATAAAGGCCCAGATATTAAATATTTTAGCCAATGCAGGCCATATGGTGTCTGAGATCTCAACTACTCAATTTTGCTGTTGTAGCAGGAAAGCAGCCATAGATGATTTATGAATGAATGAGAGTGGCTATGTTTTAATTAAACTTTAGAAAAGTAGGTGGTAGGCCATTGTTTGCTGACCCCTGCTTTAGAGGAACAAAACGTCACGAGAGAAAATTACCAGGCTGGCACGTTTTGTCAGTAGGAAATGTGAATGCAAGCTTCACACTTGGCACATGATAATTGCTTGATAATTATTAAATAAGCCAGATCTGCCTGCCTACCTTTCTGCTGGTTTGAGCAAACATAAGTAGATTTGAATTGCATTAAAAAAAAAAAAAAAAAAAAGAGGTTTGGTATCAAAAGGTACTTTTAAATCCAGGTTACTTATTAGATCTTGCCAGAGGAGTTTGTGGACCTTGGAAGTCTTCACCAATAGGGGAGCTACATGATGTGTGTTAAGATCAGTCCTGTTTGAGAACACAGGGTTGATGGCACATTAGAATGTACTTTTAGGACATAAAAGGGAGAGCTTTAGGAGTTATGAAGGGACAGTCAGTAAGCCCTAGTGATTCACTGAATGTAGTGATGTAGAAGGAAAGGTCAAGAATGGTCTTAAAGTTTTGAACTCTGATTTTCAAAATCACCACCACCAACAGGGATGCCATGGCTGAGCTCTGGAGTTGCAAGAAGACACTGGTTAGATTTTGCACATTATCAAACATAGAATTCTCTTAAGTTCTTCATCCCTTGCTCTTTCCTTGCCCTCTGATCTTTTCTCTTTAGTATTCCTCCTTTCCCTGAAATGTCAGATTATTCCTATGTCAGTAAGGAAAGTTTCTGTTTGAGTCATTTGACCAAGTCAACAATATTTACTTGGTATCCCACTGTGTGCCCAGCATCATTGTGGACACTATGCCCAAACTTGACTATTGCTTCGCTTATCTCTTCGCGTGTTCAGGCAATGAGTACAGAGCTGGTAGATTTTAAACTCTCTAGAATAGATTCTCCTATGTTTTATTTGATAAGTAACTCTGTCAATCTGGTCACATCTAAAGCCCAAACCAAGACTTCTCTTGTGGGTCAAAATCTCAATTTTCCTGTGATTGCTTAAGAAGGAAGATTCTGAGCCAAAATTTAGAAAAGTCCACATTATGATGTTCTAGAATTCAAAATAGTGATTTTCAAGCTCTTCAGGTAAGGGAAATGTCAAGGCCAATGGAAATACCAGCTACAGTATCATCTTTGCACAGATAATTTAAAATCCAGAGTAGAAACAAACCTGAGCCTCTGAGTTGGCAATAGTTTAGTTAATGGTGTCTTGAGAGGATTGTAGAACATAGGTTCTGGCATTCACTCCCTGTTTATATTTGATATAAATTCCCTATCATAAGCAAACAGCATGTATTGATTGGTAGTAGCAATTCAACTATGTGCAAAGAAATTCAACATGGTTGGTGGAAAGGAGAACATTTTAAGGCAAGGTTGTAAGAGCCTGGGTAATTTGAAGAAAGGAAATTGGACAGATGAGGGAAGGTTTCAAGACTAGCTTATTAGAAGAGGACAGAGAAGGTATAGGGAAGGAGAGAGGAAAAGGTTGTAGAAACAAAGCGTGCCTGTGAAGCTGATGGAACAGCAGGAGGTCATAATGAAGAATCTATTGCTGCAGCAATGCCTTGGGTCCACTCCTCGTCATGACGGTTAGAGGGAGGGTCTCTTTATTATGTATTGTGGACATTGACCCCATGGTGAAGGTGGTATCTGAAAACTGTGATTAAGGCCTGAAGAACATCCCTTCCTCACAAGATCTAACCCAAATTTGACTGTTAGTAGAAGCAACACATTTTTATATCAAACAGAGCACCTTTCTTAATCTTTTACATAATGTTGACTTTCTGGAAACCACTGAAGGCTCTGTGGAAATGAGAATCCCTTAATCAAAGTATGATAAAACTGCCCCAAACACAAGGCTAGAAAGTTTGGAAGAAGAACCATTTTTACCTGAAATTCCTTTTAAGTTAGCTTTGAGTGGATCGAAAAGATCAGTGACTCCCCAAGAATTTAAAATGCTTTTTAAGTTGAATTGATTTTGGATCCTAAACCTGAAAAGCAAAAACAAACCATCAACTTTCAAAATTCTTACTCAATATGCTTTCGTGCACACCACATGAAGTCCGAAGTCCCTAACTTGGAAGTCAGGCTGGCTCCACCAGATTTATTTCCAGCTTCATCTTCCATGGTGCCTTCCCATAAGCCCTAATCTGACCACATAGAGCTCTTCCCCACCTCTGTACTCTTGTTCCTGCTGTTCATTCTAAGTCTTCCCATTGACTTTGATTATCTTTTAGTTATTATCCATTTTTCAGTTGTTACCTCCTCCTCCTTTTCTTCAGCTATTTTGTAACCTTTGGTTCTTAAAGCCCCATTAACACCTTGTTTTGCTCTTATGATATATAGAACATTCTGCTTCCTATTAGCGTCATTTATGATATTGTAAACTACCTGAGAAGAGTGGCTATCCCAATTCATTTTTTAAACACTTTTTTTTTTTGAGATGGGGGTCTCCCTATGTTGCCAGGCTAGACTCGAACTTCTGGCCTCAAGTGATCCACCTGCCTTAGCTTCCCGAGTAGCTGGGACTACAGGTGTGCCCCACTGTGCCAGGCTCCAATTCATTATTATTTCTTAATAAGAATTAATATTTAATGAGTGCTTACATTATGCTAGATACTATAAGAGCTTTATGTGGATTATCTCATTTCATCTTCATATAACTATGTTATTATTATCCTCATTTTACAGATGGGAAAATCAAGACTTAAAGCGTTTAAGAAACTTGCCCAAGATGACATAATGAGTATGTGATGGACCTCGATTCAAATCAAGCCTGTGTGTGTGCAGAGTCCATGCTCTAATCACCTACATTTTGCTACCTCCCATCTCGTGTGGCATCTCACTTATAGTAGGTGCAGAAAAGAGGCTGTTGACTAATTGCCTTATTGACAATTAATAGAGTATTTTATTTAATAGAGTGTTTATACTGGATAAAATATATTTTCATATTTGCTGTGTGCAGTTTATGCCTTTGGAGCACAGTAGGAAAAGAATGGAACTTAAAGCCTTGGTTTTCCTAGTAAACCCTTTGAGCATAAAGAATCAGCACACCAATTTTATATTTCCCCAGGAACAAGGCATTTAAAGGTTTACTGTTGAAAAATCCTTTAAAAGAGCTGCTGATATTATTTTTCTTTGAAAATATAAAAGATCAAAGTGAAAATTAGATGGTCTTTTTCTATAAATAATACAGAACTTGTAGGAGAGTAAAAATATTGAATAAGACCATTTAATATCAAAGGTCTTCATTGCTATACAAGACAGTGTGATTCATACTTTAACCAAAAATATCATACTTTCTCATAAAGGTATATTTTGAATCTTCAGAATAGTTTCCAAAAAGAAATATACTTTCTCCAAATATGCTGACATTTCTCCAAAAAATTTTTGGACCATCTCTTATGAAATTTTCTTAAATACTGAAAACACATCCTTTTTGAAACCTCCAGTTGCTGAAACAGTGGTTATGAGCATGAACTTGGGAATCCAATGTCTGAGTTTGAATCCTGGATCAAGTAACTACCTGCATAACTAGTAACCTCCGCGGGAAGTTACTTTACTTCTGTTTGTCTCAGTCTTCATTTGTGAAATGACCATAATTGTAATGCGTGTTTGTAGGGTTGTAAAGATTAAATGAATGAATCCTTGTAAAGTGCTTGGAACAATCCCCAGCACAGCCCATGCACTTACTGTTACCATTGTGATTTTTAAATTATTTTTCAATTATATTGAGAAAGAGTTAATTAAGAGCTATTTGAAACTAAATGTGATTTTTGGTGGGTGATACACTTTTTGTAAACTAAAAACAGCAGTAAAAGTGAGGTATGACTATAAAAGCTTAGAGTGATTGTCTTGTATGGCTATGAAGGCAGATCCAGAAGAAATGCTACAAAAATAACTTTATTTAAAAAATACCCTTTACCAATACCAGACAAGGATATTACAAGAAAGCCAAATTACAGACCAATATACCTTATTAATATAGATGCAAAATCTTCAACAAAATATTAGCAAATTGAATCCAACACCATATAAATCTCACCATGACAAAGTGGGATTTATCCCAGGAATGCAAGGTGGGTTCAACATATGAAAACCAATTAATATACTATACCATATTGATAGAATAAGGGACAAAGGCCACACCACCATCTCAATAGATGCAGAAAAAGCATTTGACAAAGTCCAACACCCTTTCATGATTAAAAACAAACAAACAAACATCAAACATACAACAAACTTTGGATAGAAGGTAACTTCCTTAAATTGATAAAGGGCATCTACAAAATCCCCACAGCTAGTATCACACTTTACAGTAAAAGACTGAAAGGCTTCCCCCTAAGATCAAGAACAAGACAAGAATGTCCACTCTGACCCCTTCTATTTCACATGCTACTGGAGGGTGAGTAGGACAATTACATGAGAAAAAGAAATAGAAGGCATCCAGGTTAGAAAGAAGTAAATCTGTCTCTATTCACAGATGACTTGGTCCTATACATAGAAAACCCTAAAGAATCCACATACACACACACAAAAAAACCTATTAGAGCTAATAAATGAGTTCACTGAAGTGCAGCATACAAGTTTAAGATACAAAAATCAATTGTGTTTGTATACACTATAGAACAATCTGAAAATAAGTAAAAATTCAAAGGAGTCAAATACTTAGAATAAATTTAATAAAATAAGTGCAAGACTTGCATATGGAAAACTACAAAACATTGTTGAAAGAAAGAAAAACTTAAAGGAAAGATATTTTGAGTTCATGGCTCAGAACACTTAATATTGTTAGAAAGTAGTACTCGCCAAATTGATCTATGGATTCAACACAATCCCTGTCTAAATCCTTCCTGCCTTTTTGGCAGAAATTGACAAGCTGATCCTAAAATTTATATGAAAATGCAAGGGGCCCAGAATAGCTAAAACACTCTTGAAAAAGAAGAAAGTTGAAAGACTCACACTCCCGATTTCTAAAGTCACTACAAAGCTACAGTAATGAAGACTGTGTGGAACTGGCAAACAAACATCTATGACTATAGGATAGAATTGAAAGTCCAGAAATAAACTTACACATTTATGGGCAATTGATTTTGAAAAAGATGCCAAGAAAATTCAGTGGAGGACAGTTGGGACAAAGGGATAGATACACAAAAAAGAATGAAGTGGAATCCCTACCTCATATGATATACAATGATTAATTCAAAATGGATTAAAGACCTACATATAAGAGCTAAGCCTATAAAGTTCTTAGAAAAAAACATAAACCTAAATTTTTGTGACCCTAACTAGACAATGGTGTCTATTCAAAAGAATATGGCATCAAAAGCACAAGAAACAAAAGGAAACATAGATTAATTGAGCTTCATCCAAATTAATAACTTTTGTGCTTCAAAGGACAGCACTGAGAAGTGAAAAGAAAAACCACAGAATGACAGAAAATATTTACAAATCATAAATCTGTTAAGGTACTAGTATCCAGAATAAAGAACTATTACAACTCAATAATAAAAAGACAACCAATTTAAATATGGGTAAATCATCTGAAATAGACATTTCTACAAAAAAGACATTTCTCCAAGTACATGAAAAGATGCTCTACCTCATTAGTCATTAGGGAAATGCAAATGAAGTGCACAATGAGATACTACTTCACACCAACTAGAATGACTAAAATAAAAAGATGGTCATTAAGAAGTGTTGACAAGGATGTGGAGAAACTGGATTCCACACACATTGCTGGTAGGAATGTAAAATGGTGCAGTGACTTGGAAAACAGTCTGGTAGTTCTTCAAAAGGTAAAATGTAGGGTTACCACATGACCTAGTAATTGCATTCTTAGGTGTATATCCAAGATAATTGAAAATATATATACACACAAAAAATGTGCACTTGATTGTTTCTAGTTGCCAACAAGTTAAAACAAGCCAAAATGTGTCTAGGCACCCAAATATCTATAAATTGATGAATAGGTAAACAAAACGTAGTATATCAATACAATGGAATATTATTCAGTCATAAAAAGGAAGATAGTATTGATTCATGCTACTATGAACCTTGAAAATATTATGCAAAGAAGCCAGACACAAAAGGCCACATACAGTATAATTTCACTTACATGAAATTCTGGAATAGGCAAATCTATTGAGAGCAAGTAGATCAGAGGTTTCTGGGAGGTGGGGAGGGGAGTTGGGAGTGACTGCTAATGGATATGGGGTTTCTTTTTGAGGTGATGAAAAGGTTCTGGAATTAGTAGTGATGGTTGCACAACTTTGTGAATATACTAAAAACCTCTGAATTGTGTACTTTAAAAGGGTGAATTTTATAATATGTGAATTATATCTTGATTTTTTAAAAAAGAAACACCCCTAGAAAAGCATAAACCACACACCATGATAATCAGCAGCTCCTGGGAGGAAGGGCAAAACTCATTTTGAGTATGTGGGATCTGGTGGATTTTAAGAAGATATATATTATGTCTAATATCAAAACATTGTTCAGCCTTCTATGTTGACCTAATAATCAAATGTTTTATTCATTACATACATATTTGACATTATTAGTCTTTCTTGTGGGACATCACATGATTGTTGTTATAAATAACCCTTAACACATTCTTGGTTTTCTTGATTATTTCTTTAGTATGCTAAGCATCCCTCATGAAAATTAACAGTCCCTATGCACTTTTTTATTTACTTATACATAAAAGGTTACTTTGGAAGCTAGACACCATAATTCATCCAGAATCTACCAGTGCACTGCTTGGTGATGTGTAACCTGAAAGCACATCTCATAGTCACACAATTTTGCATTGCTACCCACAGTGTGCAAAATTTTTTGCTCTTGTTAAACAAAAAATGCCTGCTGACTATAGAGCAGGTCATACTAAAAGAAGAATGAGTGATTTGAGAGAATGAGAGGTAAATTCCTGCCTAAAAGCTGACTTTGTGTCTTTCATGATCCAAAGCTTATACCTAAATCTAGACCTAAGACAGTTTTTACTTTTTCTGTTTTGTTCCCCAAAGGATTTAAAGCTAGCTTAAAAACAAACAAACAAAAACTTGGTTAGTTTTACTTGTGAAATAACTTAATTTTCCTAAAAACCTCTATCCTTCTTGGACAGCAGTCTTGGTAGTCTTAAGGAGATTTAAAAAAAAAATTATCAGAATGAGGTTAAGTGCTAACTAATAGTTGTGTTACTAAGATTTCTGCCTTGCCTTGCCTTCCCTGCCTGCCAGCGTTTTTCAGGATCACTGCTTGAGGGTTTGAGACTTCTAAAAGCAGAATCAGGACAGTGGAGAGTTCTCAGTGGAGCTGGGCATTTCCCTGGGGTCTCTTCCAGGGAAGAGCTGCTCCAAGATGAGGCCCACCATCTGTCTCTTAAACCCAAAAAGGTTGTGGCAAATTCCCACAGCAGCCTCCTTTTTCTCTCTACTTTTGACATGGAACGCTGCTCTTCTTTCCCTTGCCAAGTTTCTCTCAAATATAATAGGAAGATTAGGGTTGCTTCTGCTCCCTCCCTGAGAGATCTGTTGAAATATTCAGTCTTTGTGTTTTGGTTTGGGTTCCAAATATTTCGTTTTGAGAGATACACTTTACCTTAGAGTTAAGTGCTGCCCTGGGCTATGCCAGATCTCACTTTAGACCTTGGCCCTTAACTTGCTGGGTCTCTCTTTGTATGTTTTCCTTCTAGTGCATAGATTTATTTTTAACTCCTTGAGGGAGTACTGCCGAGGACTTTGCCTTTGCCTACTGGAAGCCCAGGCAGTGGAGAGAGGCCAAGGCAGCTAGTGGCTACTGGACAACATTCCTTGCTTAATGCTGGTCAAAAAATGGTTATAAATGTACTCTCATTTCAAATATATCACAGAAGCTCATCATTTAAAGAAGCCCTAAGAGGAATCTTTTTGTAAAGTTATGAGTTTTGCTAATATATTTTGTTTTGAAAAAGCAAAATAGAATGCTGCCACTTCACTTTTTGATTTGTATTTGTACCTATTGGGTCTTCTTAAAGGAGAGTTCACCTCCATTTAGAAAGAATGAGAACCTTCTGCATAGAGACTTAAAGTGTCATATTTTTATGTCTTAATTTGGCATCTGATCAGAATTTTATCTGTACTTGCTCAATTACATAAGTCATCTTATCTCTTTGGTTTTGGAAAAATGGCAGTTTTGGAAAAAATGGCAGTTTTTCCAAAAAACGATGGGATAAGATTTGGGGAGCATTTCCTCTCCAAAAACTGGTTGTGGCCTAGGGCTGGATCAGGGGTCCTTGGGGGGCTCCAGTCCAGCCCAGTGAAGGCAGAATATCTTGTCCTGGGAAGACTCTGGGAAGTTAGTTCATTTCAGTCTATGCCGTGAGCTAGCCAGCGGTGGCTCTGAAATGGACTCAAACTCTAGGGTCACTTCCTCTTGGCCTAACTTCTGGGGGTACACATTAAACAAGTCATCCCAGTGGCTAAGCACAGACCCTAGAGGCAGACCACCTGTGTGCAAATCTATGCTCTTCTGACTGCTGGCTGCACAGCACCTGTGAGGGGGACTCAGCTGCTCACCTGGGCAGGAACACATCCATCCTGGCTCTCCTCAGGCTGGTGGTCCAGAGGTGGATGGTGCTGGCTGTGAGGTGTGGCTCAGTGTGGCTCAGGGGGATGTCTTTGTCACGGGGCACCACCAGGAACAGACTCACTGCACTTCCCAGGTAAGGCACCTCCAGCACCCCCACCTGATGTCCTGCGGTGTCTTGGAACTGACCTGAGGGTACAGTGGATCAGAGGTCAGCTCTGTCCCATGACCCAGGAGAATGAACCAGTGCCAGACCCTGAGAGAGGCTGGCTCAGAGGACTGGAAACAATAAAACGGAGCATCCACCGCACCCTCAGGAGGCAGTTTCAGGCCAAAGACTGTCGGGTGATATGGTATAAAAATCCTAGACCTAGAGTCTTTAAGATACCCTCACAGGACCAGAGCCAGAGGCTCTGTAGGGCTGGGTATGGGGGGGATGATGGCACGTGCAGAACCACATAGAGTAGTGCCACCTTATCCTTGGCAGATATGCTCCAAGAACCGCAGTAGAGGCCTGAACCTGTGGATGGTAATGAGCCCTGCATATACTACGTCTTCTCGATCTGATAACCGAGATGGCTACTAAGTGACTAATCAGCGTACTGTAGACAGCCTGGAGATGCTGGACAAAGGGATGATTCATATCTCAGGTGGAACAGAGAAGGACATCAGGAGATTTCACCAGACTATTCAGAAGGGCGTGCAATTTAAAACTTGAGAATCATTTGTGAAATTTTCCATTTAATATTTTCTGATGCGGATAACTGAAACTTCAAAAAGCAAAATCATGGATAAGGGTACAGGGTACTACTGTACCCGGCCTTAAAGGAACAGCCAATTCAATCCGGGCCTATTGTGCCTGCCAGGGTGGCAGTTTGGTCCAAATTCTACTAGTGCAGAAGGAAATGTCAAGCATGAAACTGAGTTTCTCTTCCACATCTGTGTCTTTTCACTGTCCTGTCAGAGCACACTGTCCAACACTCCTCTCTAAAGTCTCCAGGCACCCTAGTCTTTCCTTCCGCCATGTGCACCCAGTCCAGCAGATGGACCCTGCAGAAACACGTCCCGATCCCTTAGGAGCAGGGACCTGGCCTCCTCTCTCCTGCCCTCCGGCCCGGGCTTCCTCTCCCTTTAGACAAACCAGCAGGGGCAGAGCTCACCGTAGTTGACCTCGGCCATTTGGTGCATCATGGGGACCTGAAGGACGAGGCCGTGGGCACAGGTGAAAGGCAGGATCTGCGTGTCTGTGGAGGAGAATCTCTTCCGCCAAGTGCCTTGGAAGGACATAGTGCTCACAAGCACAAGCTGAGCAAATGCTGCACCAACTTGCTCCCACGGCCAGCCACCAGGGCCCTCACTGGGGCCCTCACCTGCAAGCAGGAAAGCAAGGGGGCGGTGGGTTAAATGTGCACTGAAACTGAACCGAACCCAGTGCATGTGTGGACAAGGAGTTAAATGCTAAAGTTAAATGCAGAGTTAAAACGTGAAAATGAAGGTCTTTTTGCTTAAGCTGGTTTCTCTTCATCTTACAATATCTTTTCAATTTACTTAAGAATATTTAATTCCCTGTCTCAGCTCCTTGTGCTGTCAAGGACCCAAGGCACCAGGAGCTGCTCTCAACTTTTGGGGACTGTTGAGTGATATGGTCATTTTGTAAAAATCCTAGACCTAGATAGAGTCTTTAAGATACCCTCACAGGGCCAGAGTCAGAGGCTCTGTAGGGCTGGATATGAGGGTGACAATGATACCCCCTGCTGGGGGATGAGGGTGTGGAGAGGGAAATGGAAGTGAGAACTCAGAAGTCCTGACACCTGCATGACCACTCAGGGGAGGTGGGGGCAGTGAGGCATCTCTGGAGTTGAGTTGGTAGCATATTTATTAAAATCTGTTAATTGCAAATCGATATGTGTTTATAACCAGTTGTTGCTGAAGACCCTGCTTTTTATTCTTTTCTGAACAGGTTGGGATGCTGCTACTGGTTCTGTTTGAGGCCATTTCCTAGGAATTATTAGACATTCCCTCCCCAGGCAGACCCTTGGAAGGAGTATGTGCTGTGATGGGAGATCCTGCACAATGTCGCCCCCAGTCCCCACCCTGCCCTGCTGCTGAGCTGAATCTCTCACTGAGCCTTTGCTTAGACAACAATATTCAAGGTATGGTCTTTGGAGGGCTGCAGTTAAAATTTCATGCAGTGCCAGAAAGAGGAGAAGGCAGACCATCCCTAAGGGGATAGTTTTTGTCCCAGCTGTTTATTTGTTTAATAAGCACACACTTTATGCTAGGCTCTGTTCTAAGTGCTTTAGCAAATCCTCACCGACTCCTCCTAACAGTTCTATTGTTATTCCCTATTTCACAGGTGAGGGAACTGAGGCTCAGAGAAGTTGGACAAGGTCACATACTTATGAGGGGTGAAGCCACCATCCACCCAGTTAGCCAATGCAATGTGGATTGCATTGAAATAGAACCCCAGCAGCTCCATGGAAAGCTTGGATTTGAACCCAAGCAGCCTGGCTCTGGACTCTGTGTTCTGAGCAACTGAGCCAACTGCCCCTTTTTCTTAGAGGACAATCAGCCTGCATTGGGAGCTGCTTCTCTGGCCTTATGCCCTGGCAGCACAAGGATCTGAGCAGGGAATTAAACATATTTAAGTAAATTGAAAAGACATGGTAAAATATGAGAGCGAGAGAGAGAACTTTATCACAAATGATGTTAATTTTTGGATTTAATTCTGCCATCCTTGTCCATACACTCACCGTTTTCCATTCAGTCACAGTATATATATCACTTCCTATTCTGCTTTTTTTTTTTTTTTTTTTTTTTTTTTTAGGCAAACTCTCGCTCTGTTGCCCAAGCTGGAGTGCAGTGACACAGTCTTGGCTCACTGCCACCTCTGCCTCCCGGGTTCAAGTGATTCTCCTGCCTCAGCCTCCCCGAGTAGCTGGGATTACAGGAACATGACACCATGCCCGGCTAATTTTTTGTTTTTTTAGTAGAGATGGAGTTTCACCATGTTGGCCAGGCTGGTCTCGAACTCCTGACCTCGTGATCTGCCTGCCTTGGCCTCCCAATCCTATTCTGCTTTTTAATCAACACTGGGTCTTGAATGTTCTCCACAATGCTGTGAAACTTTTGAAATGATCAAGGATGCTGGAGCCAGACTACCTGGGTTAGAATTCTGGCCTGTGGACCCTGGGCAGGAGGCTGAGCTTTCTGTGCCTCAGTTTCTCCAATTATAGAATAGGGAGAGTAATAGCGCCTACCCCTTAGGATTATTGTGAGGGTGAACTGAGATAATCAACTTGGAGCAGTGCTAACTAAATAAACTAAACACTCGGTAAGCGTTCATTATTTTAATTATCTTTTGTAATAATTACAACTGCATAACATGCAGGTGCTGTGCTACACTGATTCACCCCTCATTGCAGGGCAGCGAGGCTGTTTGTAAATCTCTTTATTCAATAACGCTGAGCTAAACATCTTATTGTGTGTAACTTTTTCTTAAATTATTTCCTTAATCTACATTCCCAGGAAACCCTTTTTTTGGCTCCTGTTGCATTTTGCTGTCACAGGTAGTTTATTATAGATGACAGCAGAGCTCAGTGGGCGAACAGTTGCATGGGACAAAGCCTGTGGGGTCCTCTGAGTTGGGAGGCTCTGAAAAGCATACTTCTTTGTTCTTGTGTGTTCTTGTGGCTCATGTATGTGTATATGTGTGCCCATGTGTATATTTGTGTGGGGGAGGGTCAGAGCAGGAAAAGCAGCAGAAAGGGACTCAGTGTCCCCTTGTCATTCAAGGGTAGGATCTCCTAAGAGGACAAACCGCTGTAATTGAAGATGGCCTGAGCACCATGGCCTCTGACAAGTGATGGGTGAGACTCTTTCTCTGCAGCCCTCTGACTTAGCCTTATTGAAATGGACAGTTTTCTTTTACCTGCAGTCTGTCTGGAAGCCCCTTCGCTAGTCTGGACGGCGGTGCCGTTGGGCTCACCGAGGTCGGCTGGTTCCAGGCTGCTGTTGGCCCACCAGGAGACCTGCTCCACAAAGCAGGGGGACAGCGGTGTTCCCACTTGCACAAAAAGGCTGCAGGCCAGCTCCATCTCGGCGCCTTGGCTGGAGGTGGGTATTGTGGCATAAACAGCATGCAAGAAATCTTTCACCCTTTGGTCTGTGAAAAACAAGTTGGGATAAGTTGACAATGGTGAGTGTGAGTAAGGAGTTAGCACAACCTCCAGCGCACATTGTATTGAGATGGAACCCCAGCAACTCCACCCTTGCTCATAAAATTCATCTACCACACAAAGCCAGTTTGAAAAAGTCATAGCTAATGTGCTCAGGAATCAGTCTGGATCCACCAATTAAAAGTTGGGAAGAAACCATGCTAGAATCTGAAAGAAATCAGGCTGCAATGAAGTCAAATAGAAAAACACTACCAACATCCTGTAGATGAATAGAGGTTGTTTTTCCTTAATTTCCTGCCTTAGGAAGGTTGATGTGTGCTGGAGTGGATTTTCTAGGGCTGGGAAAACAGCAGGTCCACCATGCAGGGTGATGGGGTTTCAAACACAACATCAGGAGATTTATGTGCAATGTCACAGTGACAATGACGGTAGGTGGCCAGGATGTTGTACTGTCAATATGTCTTGTTCAGGGCTTTAAATCCATTCCCACAACTGCGTGTCATGAGCCTGAGTAACATTTGGATTCAGCCTTGTGTAGAACTATGCTTTCAATTTGAGAAATACAGAGGAAAGGTAAGAACTCCTCCCATCCCCCCTTTCCCTAAGACCCAGCAGACAGCTTGTGTTTTTAATGTCAGTGAGAGGCTGCAAGAATGTCGAGGAAATAATAAGCATTTGAGAGAGTCGATAGCTTCCACCTTCATGAATGGCAGCTGGACTTCTATTTATTTACTGTTTATACAGGAGATTGCTTCCTTCTCTCCATGATCAATAGTGGATTTTGTTTTCATGTTATTATTCACAAGCTGCAGCTTCCGTCCTCCCCCAGGCATCCCTTAGGCTGGAACGAGGGCTCTTGCCCGCTGGTGAGTCCAGACACAGTTGCATACCCCAAGCTTCGCATTCCTAACACATGCAAGCTGAGTGTTTCCAGAAGTGAAGCCCCCTTGCTTAGGCTACTTCTACTCCCTTTTAGGCACAGCCCTGCAGTTATCTACAAACCCTCCCTGTGAGACAAAATGCTGGGTATCTTTTCCTCCACTACCTGGCTCCAGCTGGTTTTCACTGGGCTGAAACTCTCACTCAGTTGGGGTCTGTCCCCTCTGACACCCTTCATGTTGCAGAAGCCAAGCCAGGAGGCAGCAGCAGACCCCCGAGTTTCCTGGCTAATGTTCTCTGGAGGCACAGGAACCCAGAGTCTACCCTTGCCAGGGCCCCTAGCCACGAGGCTGCAGAGGACATTAGTAGGCAGACATCACTTGTCCACAATATGTTCACTACCAAAGCTGCTTCTGAGAATCCACAATTGCAAAAGATTGACTCAGAATCTTTATCTCATGAATCAGCCTAACTTAAGTGCTTGTATTTGAGTGTAGTAAGAAAAAAAATGGATAAAAACATACTTATAATCAGATTTTACTCTATCGAGGAAGGTCACATGTATTTCTAAGATCACATTCCTAGGAATATTGACTGTCTGCAGAGAAGAACTGAAACACTTCCCTGGTCCATAGTGTGATGTGACCTGAGGAATGGTCACAGAGCTCTCCTCTCCATCTTTCCACCCTCTCTGGGCCAGGGGACCACATTCTTTTAGTCAGAAATATTACAATAGCAGAGTAAGTTGGCTTGAAGTGAATTTTTGTGTGAAATCTTTTCTCTGCCCTAGCCTAGTTTGTCCATGCATATTTGCACACAGGAAGAACATTTTTAGACCCACCAGAATATGCAATGACAGGGTGAAAAATGCTGGAGGTTAACTGTGTTTATAGACATTGTGCTAAACACTCAACACTCCTGATCACACTGAATGCTTTTGACAGTCCTGTGAATTGAGGGCTATTATTATCCCTATTTTATAGATGAGAGAGCAGAGGCCCAGACAGATTAATAAAGGTGCTCAGTGTCACCCAGGTATAGGTGGTGGGGCTTTACTGCCCTGCCCACCCACAGGGTGAGGAATGGGTGGGCTGGGACAACCCTGCCTAGGACAGCTTCATTCCACTTGGAATGAACATGAGGCCACAGAGCTCATAGCCTCTTTTTTTTTTTTTTTTTCTGTCTTTGCTGAATTCCTAGATCCTAGTCTAGGAAGGAAAAAGTATGTGCCTGAGTGTCTGTTTTAGCTGGAGCTGGTAGATTGGTTCTGAGGTCAAGCATTGAGCTGAGGCACTGAGCGTAGGCAGAGGTGAAGCTGACCTGGCATTCGAAAGACTCATGCTGCTGCCGGCAGAGCTGCTCTAAAATACATAATCCATAGAAATAAGCTGGCAGATCTGGCACTGGCTAGAAGTCACAGATTTATAAAAGCAGGTTGGTCAAAAGCATGGGCTCTGAAGCCAGGCAGCCTGGGCTTGAGTCCCAACTCTGCCGCTTATTGACTCTGTGACCTTCAGCAAGTTGCTTCAACTCTCTGTGCCTATTTGCCCATCTCTAAAATTGGGATGATAATAAAATTATCCTCAACAGAGCTGTTGTGACAATTAATTCAATTAATGTTTGTAAGTGCCTCCAGCGCTGCCTGGCACCTGGGAAAGCACGATGCTAGGGCGTGTCAAATGAAACTGAAAACATTGCCATGAAACCTGTTAGGTTAAAAGGAAACCTTAAAATTCAAGGGTCACCACCATTCCAAAGTCTGAATGCCTTCTGTCACAGACCTGTCCAGTGATCACTATTCCCCACTTGCATGCCATAGGGAGCTGAGCTCCCTATCTCCTAGCTGGCCTGAGTAGCAGAGTGAGCTGGAGAGAGTGAGTGTGAGCAGCAGGGTGAGCTAGAGAATGTGTGAGTGTGTGAGCAGCAAGGTGAGCTGGAGAATGTGTGAGTGTGAGCAGGAGGGTGAGCTGGAGAGAGTGAGTGTGAGTGTGTAGGCAGCAGAAAAATTCAGGCTGGAGAGAGAGTGTAGTGTGAGTGTGAGCAGCAGGGTGAGCTGGAATGGTGAGCAGGAGGCGTGAGCTGGAGAAGTGATAGCAGGCAGGAGGGTGAGCTGGAGAGAGTGTGAGTGAGCAGGAGGGAGGTGAGCTGGAGAGAGTGTGAGTGAGCAGGAGGGTGAGCTGGAGAGAGTGTGGAGTGTGAGCAGGAGGGTGAGCTGGAGGAGAGAGTGTGAGTGTGAGCAGGAGGGTGAGGCTGGAGGTGAGTGTGAGTGTGAGCAGGAGGGTGAGCTGGAGAAGAGTGAGTGTGAGTGTGAGCAGGAGGGTGAGCTGGAGAGGGAGTGGAGGTGAGTGTAGGCAGGAGGTGGGCTGGAGAGTGTAGTGTGAGCGGGGAGGGTGAGCTGGAGGGTAGAGGTGAGCAGGAGGTGAGTGAGTGTGTGCATGTGGGCAGCTGGAGAGAGTGAGTGTGAGTGTGAGCAGGAGGGTGAGCTGGAGAGTGTGAGTGTGAGCAGGAGGGTGAGCTGGAGAGACTAAGTGTGAGCAGGAGGGTGAGTGAGTGTGCATGTGGGCAGGCCTCTTACCATGGACAGTGTACCCCAGGGCATCTGCCAGCTGCTGGCCAGTGCTCCCTTCTGCTCCGAACTGCAGGATCTCCAGGGGGAGGGACACACCAGCAGGAGAGATGACGAAGTTCGTCTCGTTTCTACACGCGGCCACGCTCTGGTAGAGGCGAAGTGCAAATTCGGTCTTCAGCAATGTCATTCCTTCACGGAGGTGGCCATTTGCTTGGAGGAAGCAAGAGTGAAGGAGGAAGAGGGTGACCAGGAAAGGTGGCATGGAGGCTGGGAGGGTTTCTGCAATTCAGAGGGAAGAGATGCAGGGTAGGCTGGAAACTGGTGATGAAAGAGGACTGTATCCCACAGAGGACTGGGACCCCCAGCTCTCTTTTTAGGGGCTGGGGACAGCTGAGGGAGACATGCATTGAGCTGTCTTGGTTACCCACCCTGAGGCCCATCCGCCTGGGCTGCAGAGCTGTACCCTCTTGTTTCAGCATTAGAAATACTCACTGTGGTCCTTTGGAAGCCAAACTGTGGGTCTGAAGATCTGCTTCGGCCACTTACTGGATGTGTGACTTTGGCAAAGCCCTGGTCAGATCAGAAGCAAAGCATTGTGTTGGGAAAAGAAATGTAAGAGGTAATCCTACTCATTGTTCTTGGTATTTAGCCAGCTTATAGCTGTGCCATGTCTATCAGGAATAATAATAAATAATTATCTACTATGTTAAAAGGACTTTGTACATTTGCAGTTAATCGTCCCAACAATGTCACTAGTATCTGTTATTATATTTCATCTATAAAGGGATGATTGAACCTTTGAGGCTCAGTGACTCATTTATATGGGGAAAGAAACAGGGCTGTGACTGAAATCCTGCTCTTCTATGAGTAGTATATACAATTTTGAGAATACCAATGTGCATTAAAATGTTGATACATGAACTAATTGTACCTCAAATATCAGAATTCTTGTGATGCCAATTTGTCTCTAAAAAAGAATATTTTCACAAAGATAGTTCCTACCACAGAAATGTACTCTTCCAAGGAAGAGAGATCATTAGCTAGAAAATAATGCAAGAAGAAAAAGGCAAAGCAAAAAAATGTTTTCGATGACCATGCCATACATCCAGCCAGCAGCAATTTTTGCTAAGTTGTCTAACTGTGGTATCATACCAGACTGATGTAAGAAGAGGTCCAGAGTCACTTCCTGGATTCACCAGTGAGCAGCTTACCCTGCTGCTCACATTCACACTCACTTCTCCAGCTCACCCTGCTGTAGAAGTTTGCAAGCAAGGCCACTGAGCGTGATGGTGCCTATTTTAGGTAAAGGTCCAAGACAGAAAACATCCTCTTTTTTCCAACCCTTCCTCCCTGCAGCCAAGTACAAATGCAGTGCTTGGATGACCTTGGTACACAGGTCTCGGTCTCTCTCTCTCTCTCTCTCTCTCTCTCTCTCTGTGTGTGTGTATGTGTGTGTGTATGTGTGTGTGTGTCCCAGCCCAGGATCATTTGCAAAACTCTTAAGCCCCAGGGTTATTGCAGCTCTTATAACCTCCCACCTCCCACAAGAACACTCTCAGCAATCAGACCTTGATGCCCCTGGGCTCCCCATGAACAAATCCCTGTCATGGCTCACCTCGAATGAGCCACTTACTCACGGACTTTTGTATCACTGTTGCACCTTTCCTTGCTCAATTCTGTTCTTGTGGGTCTCCAGCATTCATGTGCTCCCCTTTTAAAAAAGTGGAGCAGAATCTGCTTTGAATCACAAGACAGCGCAGAGAGGAAGCTGGCGATTGCCGTCTCTGCCGGCGATGTCTCTACCACTCGGTCCAAATTCCTGGAGCCTGGAGGTCCTGCAGAGAGCCAGGAGAAGCAGCCCAGCCCAGGGCAGCAAAGCCCAGATCAGAAACAGAGCAGGGCCATGGGGGGAGCCAGCCACACCCGTCAAGCCTTCTTAGGCTTGTGACCTGGTTGTACCAGCAAGGAACCCCTCATCCAGCCCTTTGTCACATTGAGGAATTCCACTGATAACTTTGCTTATTGGGCTTTTGCTGGGTACCAGGTACCTAATGCTTCCCCCCTCCTCTTGTGAAGAAAACAATAAATCAGTCATTGGGCACGACTTAATTCAGCAAATGAAATTCTGCAAAAGAGAAAACAACGCAAGATATGGCACAGTCAGTTCGGAGCAGGGTGACTTGCCTCATTTATTATTAATAAAAGTGAATGCACTAATTTATATATATAACTTGAGCTATTAATAATCTGGTTCTTCTCAGATACAACAGTTAGTAAGTCCAATAACTAATCTGAGAAAAAGACCATGTTGTCAATGAGTAGACAGATATTTTTGAAAAATATGAGCAGGTTCTGTCAAAAGTCTGTCCTTGTGATCAATTAAGAATTACATACATTTCTATTAAGGACTTAGGCCTTGTATTAAGTTCAAAATAGATGGTAGCTTATATGTGGTTACAGATTAAAGAAGAACTAAATGCAATTCTTAATAATTATGTCTCAGGCATCTGTAAGTGTTAATATTTGAAAATCAATGGACTGTTTTCACTTGACAACTACCCATACCCCTGTAATCAGTGGGTAATTCACTTTAAGGAGTTTTATTACTGACACCCAAACCTGGGATTGTTTACATGTCTTAGGATAGTTACAATTCTATAACTGCATCACATAAAATATCCCCAAATCTTTACTTTAGATTCAGTGCCTTGGACTCTAAGCCATAGTATGAAAGGAGAATAAACAGGTTTAACTTATTCTATAGCACCCAGAGAGGGCATGTCATTCATCCACCTGTCCATCCATCCATTCATCCATTCATCCATCAATCCATCTGTCCATCCGACTGTCCATCCATCCATCTGTCCATGCATGCATGCATGCCTGCATCCATCCATCCATCTATCCATCCATCCACCTATCCATCCATCCAACAAATATATCTTGATCACCTGCTTGGTCACAAATCACTGTGCTTCTAGGTTCTGGGCATATGGCAGTGAACCAGTTACCCGGACTCAGCTCCTATGGGGCTTAGAGTCTTGCTCACTGCCTGCGTATTTTAGATGTTGATGGTGATGGAGCCGCAGTAACTTGTGAGGACTGCCTTGTCACATTGTGAGCTCCCTGTAGCAGGAATTGTGGGGGAAACAGCCGATGCACTATTTGCCAGTGGTAGCAGTGGAGAGAAGCTTATAAAAAGATTTCCCAGATTGGGAAAAACATTGTTTGTGTAACGTCTACAAACATTTCTTTCTAACTCTATGAATATACCATTCTAACTTGCTTTTAAGAAGCATCCTTCAGAAAAATGCTAGGGAAATTTAACATACAGGATATATTTTCTATATAGGCTAAACATTTTAAAGTGTGAATGAATGAAAGATGAACTGCAAGTGATTTTTCTTCCATGTACTCGGCCTTGAACCTCGGTAAGTCACTGTGGCCTCTGACCATTTAAGCAGAGATTATCATGTTTATTTCTATCTTGCTGGGATGGATGTTCATTATACTGCTAAGTGAGGCTCCATTCTTGGAGACATTTATTTGTAATTTTAACAACATACATAGGGAGCATTACTGAGCACTTACTGTGTTCCAGCTACTCTATTAGACCCTGTCCATTCACAATTGCAGTGAATCCTCACAGCAATCCTATGAGGAATGTATTATCATTCGTATTTTGCAGATGAAGAAACTAAGTCTGAAGAGCTTAAGATTTTGCCTCAGGTCCCACCAGGTCAAGTTGGGGTTGAACCTAGGGCCACCTTGACGCTAAGGCATATGCCCTTCATCACAGTCTTGGTGCTGTCAGGAGCCAAGGGATGGGGTCTCCTAAAATTCCTCTTGGCTGTAGGATTCTAAGTCTTTCGATGGCCAGCCCAGACTCTTTTGCTCGTAATGTATGTTCACTTTGCCCGCATTTACCAGGAATGCTGTGGTCAATCACCTGTAGGTAGACCGCTATGAGGCCCAGCACTTTTAACAATTATGGTTTAACATTTTTCACTAGCCGATTCTTATAAACAAATCATTTTCAAATCCAAAGGTCTACCAAACTAATGTGATGGATAGAAACATTGCATTTCAATTCAGTTAGGACATAATTAATAGGTAGGCATCTCCTTTGTGTTTATATGGGCTGCTTGTCTGGGGTCGTACAGAGGGAGTCCCATTTGTAGTCCTTACCTTGAGGATTTTGCCATGAAGAGAGAGCACACCCACTGAAGACATGGGCACTGCTAAAAGAAGTCTCAGGGAACAGCTAGAGCAAGCCAGAGGGCAACGCAAGGTAGCCCAGCACATGGTGCTGCAGAGCCGGATGAAATTAGCAAGTCCTTCATGGGAAATGGTGCAGGTGAGCCTCTACCTGTCCTTCCAGGAAGGCAAAGGCAAAGCGCTGCTGCTGGGCTTCCTGCTGTCCTGGCTGATAGCTGCAACATGGCCCTCAAGTTCTTCATAGCTATGCAGTGCTTAGACTCAAAATGAACCTGGGCTTCTCTACTTTTTGATACCTTTCAGAATGGTGTGCCGAAGAGAGCACAGAGGGCTGGTTTCAAACTAACTGCAAACCTTGGGCAAGTCACTGAATTGCTCTGAGCTTGAGTTGCCTCTTCCGCAAAGTGGGTGTATAATACCTCCCTCTCACTGTGAAGATGACAGCAAACAGCCTTAGCATGGCACCTGATAAGCAGGAAAGGCTGAAAGCATCAGCTTCTTTGGACTGTGTCCCCATCTCTCATCTCATCTTACTTAAGAAACTGCCATCGAGGTCCTTTCATGCTCACATAAGAAGGAGCTTGGGAATCGTCATGTAACCGGCTGGACTATGAATCTATGCTGTTGTATCCGGAAATATGTTTTTTTAAAATTAATTTCATTTTTTTTTTTTTTGAGGTGGGGTTTTGCTCTGTCTCTGAGGCTGCAGTGCAGTGGCACGACCTCGGCTCACTGCAACCTTTGCCTCCCCAGTTCAAGCAATTCTCCTGCCTTCGCCTCCTGAGTAACTGGGATTCCCCACCATGCCTGACTAATATTGTATTTTTAGTAGAGATGGGGTTTCGCCATGTTGGCCAGGCTGGTCTCGAACTCCTGGCCTCAAGTGATCTGCCTGCTTCCATCTCCCAAAGTGCTGGGATTACAAGCGTGAGCCACTGCATCCAGCCGGAAGTATGTTTTTAAATGTCCTGCACGAAATAGGTTGGAAACTTTAACAAAGGTCTCTAAACTTGAATTCAGAGCTAGTTTTTAATCTAACTTTGGAGAAAGTAAGTTGTTTAATAATTTATTTTGTTATTATGTTAACATAAGTTGTTG